GTCGACTACTTAACCGACTGAGCCACCCAGGTGCCCTGACCTTCTTTTATATATATATATATATATATATATATATTTTTTTTTTTTTTTTAGGTTGGGGAGAGGGGCTGGGAGAGAGAGAGACTATTAAGCAGGCTCTACACTCAGCATGGAGCCCCATGTGGGGCTCAGTCTCATGACCCTGGGTTTGTGACCTGAGCTGAAATCAAGAGTCTGACGCTTAACTGACCAAGCCACCTAGCGCCCCTGCAAACTCATTCTTTTTAAGGGCTGTATACTAGTTCACAACTGGGCTGCACCATAATTTTTCTAACCCATTTGCCAGCTAAGCTTTACCAACAACTGGCTGGTTTCCAATTTTTTACTCTTTCCAATAATGCTTTTGTAAGTGTCCATATCTATTATAAATCTGGTTTGGGGTATCTATTTCTAGAAAGAGAATTGCTGTCAAATATATATATATATATATATATAATATATATATATTAAACTCTTTGGAGAAGCAAGAAATATATTTCTTAAAACTCAGTTTAACTATTTATTTATTTATTTTAGAGATTGAGAGAGAGAGCTAGCAAGCAGGGGAGCGGGGCAGAGGAAGAGAGAGAGAATCTTTTTTTTTTTTTCGATTTTTTTATAGATTTTTTTTTTTTTTACAAATAGTTTATTGTCAAGTTGGTTTCCATATAACACCCTGTGCTCATCCCCACAAGTGCCCTCCTCCATGCCCATCTCCCCCCTCCCCTCCACACCCATCAGTCCTCAGTTTGTTCTTAGTATTCAAGAGTCTTTCTTTAATGGTTTGCCAGAGAGAATCTTAAGCAGGCTCCACACTCAGCATGGAGCCTGACGCAGGGCTCAATCCCACGACCCTGAGCTCATGACCTGAGCCGAAATCAAGAGTCGGACACTCAACCGACTGAACCACCCAGGCGCCCCCAAACCCAGAGTTATTTTTTTCCCCAAACATAAGAGGCAAACAAAATCTGTCCATTCATCAATTCAGTTCATTTGGGAACAGCGCTTCCCAAATGTGCCAGATGTGGTCCCCACAGTGCAGCTTTGGGCACGGCTGAAACGGTCTCTTTCCTTATGGAAATGATAACTTGTGAAACAGAGGCCCTGCCTTCCTGGGGGGGGACCCCCTTCGAGTTGTGTGGGGGGGGAGCGCCCCACCCACCTACCCACCCTCGCAAACACCTTTCAGGCAGCCCAAAGTCCCGGGCTCAGGGAGGGGCTGCCCCACCCTCCTGGCTGGGCCCTGTCCTGGGGGGCAGAAGTGGGGCAGAAGGGGAAGTAGCTGCCATCTAGAAGGCGGGCTGGCTCTTGCCTAAGGGAGGGCCGCGGGGACCAGCCTTGCGTCCTTGTGAAACGGCTGGTGGCTTCTGCTCTTGTTCTTTGTTCGGCAGGGAATGGGGACCCACCATGGGGAGTGGCCCCTGGCTCCCTCCTGGGAGACTCACACTGGGTCTGAGAGACAGTTCCTCTTGTTCCCAAAAGATTTCCTAGGAAATCTGTGCCGGCCGTTGTTGGTGTTTCCAGGGGCCCTGGAGGGGGAGGTGAGCTTGTCCTGGCCTCCCAGGCAGTCAGCCTCACGGCCAGGTTCTCCTGTGAGTTTCCTGGGTTTAAACCTCACTCTGCCGCAGCTGTTGGTCCCTCCAGGGCTGTCATCTGGTGACGGAGCAACTGTCATCTAGTTGGCCTTGATTGGAGTAGGAGACCAGCTTTCCGGACCATTCCCAGGAGCCCCAGCCAGGCTCTAGTCTAAGATTCTCAAGTCTGCTGGCTCCCATGCCCCATGGACAGAGCATTTACAAAGAGCCTGGCTGGCAGCCGAGTGCTTTATGTGTGTCCTTTAATCCTCATGGCAACCCTACTGGGTAGTTCTACAGTATCCCCACCCCTGTATCACAGATGGGGACACTGAGGGTCAGAGGTTTGGTAACTGTCCTGACCCATGCCTGTCTCCTGCCTTATCTGCTTCTACCTCCCCTCCCTCTAGCCACTCTGCCCTGCCCCTCCCAGGCCCTTTAGCCAGTTTATTACCCCTATTTGGAAATCTCATCCCCCAGATCTTTTTTTTTTTTTTTTAATTTTTACTTTTTTGTCGGGAAGAGTGCAAGTCGGGGCGGGGCAGAGAGAGGGGTACAGAGGATCTGAAGCAGGCTCTACACTGACAGGCTGACAGCAGTGAGCCTGATGTGGGGCTCGAACTCATGAACCATGAGATCATGACCCGAGCTGAAGTCGGGTGCTCAACCGACTGAGCCACCCAGGTTGTCCGTCTTCCCCCAGATCTTGACTTCCTGTCTAAAAGAACCGCCCATCCACCTTGCACCTGTCATGGGGCTTGTGGAGGGCCTGTTTTTATTGCTAGAGTAATAAGCCACACTAGGGTGAAGATTTTGGTTCACCTCTGCACCTAGAACATAATAGATGTTCAATTAATACGTGTTGAGTGAATGAATGAATGCCTGGCACATAATGATGTTTAATTAATATGCATTGAATGAATAGCCTGGAGGCACTCAGCTGTGCTTCCTCCTTTCCTGCTAGTGCGCTCTCTCTCTCTCTCTCTCCCTCCCCTGACTGTAGACTCTGCTCTCCCCGGGGTCCCATCTTCCCACCCTTCACCCAGTTAGGAATGTGTACTTCCTGGTGTTTGTCTGATTGCTCTCTCCTTCCACCACTGAACTCTGAGCTGCCAAGGGCAAGGACTCAGTCTGCTCCTGGCTGATGTCCGCCTCCGGAAGACACCCTGATGAATAGGTGAACGAACCAGGGAAACAGAAAAGCCAAGGCAGGGACCAGCTTTCTGGCATTCAGGCCGGTGCTCTTAGCATTGTGTGCCTTCCTGGTTTGAAATTGTGGGTCTGGTTCAGGCTCTCCAGGACAGCGGTTATGTGACTGTGGTGCGGGCCAGCGCATTTCAAGACCTAGACAGAGGCTTCTGGGGCGACTGGCAGTTGTAACAGCTTTGCAACTTCTCTTGCTTTGAATGAAGCATCAGCTGTCTGCTCAAGGTGTTGCTTCCTCTTGACTTTATTTTTTAGCAAGATGAAACTTCTCTGTTTTTTCTACGTACAGAAGTTTATGTTAACTTACCAGTTGCAGTACTTTTTAAAAAACATGTTTTTAAGAATTTATTTTATTTAAAAAATTTTTAATGTTTATTTTTGAGAGAGAAAGAGCAGAGTGCAAGTGGGGGAGGGGCAGAGAGAGAGACACACAGAATCGGAAGCAGGCTCCAGGCTCTGAGCTGGCTGTCAGCACAGAGCCCGACTTGGGGCTCGAACCCATCAACCATGAGATCGTGACCTGAGCCGAGGTTGGACGCTAACAGACTGAGGCACCCAGGCACCCCAAAATAGATTTTATTTTTACATACTGTCTATACCCAACATGGGGCTTGAACTCACAACCCCAAGATCAAGAGTCACATGCTCTGACTGAGCCAGCCAGGCACTCCTCATTGGAATGCTTTTTAAAAATGGAACAATAAACATGCTTACTTCTATTTAAAAAATGAAAACAAAAGATGAAACTTTACCCTTGGAGACAGGAGAACTGGAGAAGATGTCTCTTTGTGGCACTGGATTCTTTACTTAGTAGCGGGCTTGTGAAGGCAGACTGGCTGGTAGTGTTACACGGCTTAAAGATACACTTTGTCTGTGTCTGTGTTACACGGCTTAAAGATACACTTTGTCTGTGTCTGTTAGTCCTGAAAGTCGGGTATGTTCATCGTGGCAGACTTTAAGAATTCAGAAAACTAGAAGAAACCTAGCCTGGTCTCATGATCCTTATACAACCGTTTTAGCAAGTTGGCCCAAGTCCGTTCATGTGTATTTTGCCCTTTTTGTGGGGGAGGGAGCATCATGCTGACCATACACTGTATTCAGCAGTGCATCCTCCCCTTTCCTTCTAAGTCTATAAATACAGTATCTTAATATTGTGTTAAATATTAACATATTTAAATACATGTTAAATATTAAAATCATATGTTAATACATACCAAACATTTAATATTGATATGTATTACTATGTATAATTCAGTGTTAATAACTGAACAAAAATACTTCAAAACTAACTTTAATGCCTATAAAATACTCCACCATATGTCAGTATATCACACTTTTTTTCTTTTTTGAGAGAGAGAGAGAGAGAGAGCGAGAGCAGAGGAGGGCCAGAGGCAGAGGGAGAGAGGGCACTGTCAGCACAGAGCCTGATGCGAGGCTCCATCTCCTGAACGTGAGATCACGACCTGAGCTGAAATCAGGAGTCGATGATTAACCACCTGAGCCACCCACCCACCCCATCACACTCTCCTTAATCTGTTCTGGTTGTTTACCCTTTATCTTATCTTTCTCACCTCTCTCTCTGTTTGTGTGTGTGTGTATGTGTGTGTGTGTGTGTGTGTTTGATATGCCATCTTAAATCCTTTTTGGAAAAGACCATATATATTGTATGTAAGAAGTTTTATTTTATTTCTTACATAAGAAGTTTTAAAATCACTCCCTCAGCTTTGTGCAGAGACAGTATCCTAGCCAGTGAGCTTTATCCAAGGCACAATTATTGCTGATTAAAATCACTCTCCGAAAGCTAAACAATTATGGTTCTTTTTAATTTGTCACTATTACAATAGCACTTTGATGAACATTGTTCTGCCTAATTTTTTTAATGTTTAAGGTTATTTTATTAGGGTAAATACCTAGATTTGGAATTAGTGCATCAGAAGAGTATAGGTATTTTAAAGGTTCTTGTGATTTATTGCCATTTACTTTTCTGAACGGCTCTTCAATTTATAGCGTCATTAGCAAGAAGGAAAGTGCATGTCTCAGTGCATCCTTCCAGCAGTACGTATATTTTTAATATTCAGAAATTTGCTAGGTAGGAAATGGTGTCTGTTAATGGATTTGGAACGTCTGTCTCTTGAGTTCACACCCCAGCGGTGTGGGTGGAGGAATGTCCATCGAATACTGTATCTGATTTTTGTCTTGCAGCTGACTTTGGTGTGTCTGCCAAGAATCTGAAAACTCTGCAGAAACGAGATTCCTTCATAGGAACGCCTTACTGGTGAGTTGTGCAGTTTCTGGAAAGGGAATGACAGACTGAAGGTTCAACCTCAGACTCCCCAAGGTGACCCCTGGCCGCCATAGAGGAGAGAGAACAGTGTCAAGGGCTCCTGAGTCAGCCTGCTGGGTCTGAGCCTGGTCACCACCAACAAGCGCTGTGACCTTGGCCAAGTTGCTTAGCTTCCCTGTACCTTGGTTTCCTTCTCCACGAAATCAGGGATAGAACAGCACCTGTTTCACAGGTTGTTGAGACAGTGAAATGGGATAATGCAATAGAAAATACTTCATTAGGGATGCCTCAACGGGAACCCCTAGAAAATAGTTCGATCCTTTTTTTTTAAGTTTATTTATTTTGAGAGAGAGAGAAGCACATGTGTGAGTGGAGGAGGGGCAGAGAGAGAGAGAGAGAGAGAGAGGGAGGAGAGAGAGACTTCCAAGAAGGCTCTGTGCTGTCAGCACAAAGCTCGATGCGGGGCTTGAAGCCATGAACTGTGAGCTCATGCCCTGAGCTGAAATCAAGAGTTGGGTGCTTAACTGACGGAGCCACCCAGATGCCCTAAAAATGCTTTAATTCTTAATTCAACAAGTACAGATCGAATGTGAGGCCCTGGGCTGAGACTGTGAGGAAGAACAAGTTCAATTCCTACCCTCCCGTGAAGTTTCTCTGGACTTCTCTAGGCCACTGTGTTTCCTTCTTTCCCCAAACTATTACTTAAAAAAAAAAAAAAAAAAAAAGACAAAAAACCTCTCTCAGTTTCACACCTAACTGCTTTCTGTTTTTTCACATGCATTACTTCTCATTGTGGAGTTAGGCTCCCTTCTTGCTTGCTTATTACTCACTCTTTCTTTCTCTCTCTCTGCCCTTTCATTCCTCTTTCTCCTATTCTCTCCCATCCCTTCTCTCTGTGCTGTTGTATTCTCGCCACCCACCCACCCTCTTGTGCCCCCAGTTTTTTCTGGGCACCTCCCCCCCGCCTCTACCCACCCCTTCCCCAGGACTCTGTGTTCTGGATTGTTGCTGCCATCTTGTGGTAGGCGTCAGGAACTGCAGCAGGACATGGCAGTGGAGCCCATTGAAGGCATCTTACTGAGTGAAGACCATCATAAGGAAGACAATGATGCAAATCGTGACTCAGGAGTGCGGCCAACCCTCTGACATTGGCTTCTGGTGGTCCTGGACCCCGAGTCTCTGAGAAGGGCCTGTGGAGGCCAGCTTCTTAGCCCTCTGTTGTCCCTTGGTTGGTTCAGGATGGCCCCTGAGGTGGTGATGTGTGAGACCATGAAGGACACCCCGTATGACTACAAAGCCGACATCTGGTCCCTGGGCATCACTCTGATTGAGATGGCCCAGATTGAGCCCCCACACCATGAGCTCAACCCCATGCGGGTCCTGCTCAAGATTGCCAAGTCGGACCCCCCCACCCTGCTCACGCCTTCTAAGTGGTAAGCAGCGAGGCCTGTGTGCCTGAGGGTGTTTGGTGCATGGCCAGTGGGCCTGGGACACAGGGCAGGTGGGACTGGGCAGGTGGAGTGCCCAGAGTCGGGGAGCAGTCAGGGCCTGAGGGGGTCTCCGGGCCTTTCTGAGCTCCCTAGGCCCTCCGTGTTTTTTTCTGTCCTCTGTGCTCTGGACATGGGTTGTCTATCAAAGCGGACTGGGCGATCCCAGAAGCTGGATCCCACTATGGGAGCAGGTGCCTAAATGAGCCCCTGCAGCCCGGTGGTGCAACCGTGGGCTGGAAACCCAGGCGTGGGCACAAATCCCTGCACGTCTGTGTGTTACCGCTGGGCCCTGGGCAAGTCCCTGCTCTCTGATCGCCGTGTCCCCATCTGTATGGTGACGTTCACCATGAGAAGGTCATCTTGAAAGCCCCTTTGCCTTCACTGCTTTTAGCTCACGAAGGAGCCTTTGTCTTTTGAGGGCTGTGTCTGGGAAGCGCACACATCACAGGGGAGTCAAATGTGTGACGGGGAGCATTTTCTCAGTTCTTGCCATGCTTGGGCTGACTGCTGCTACCTGTCCCCACCCTCACTCCTCAGGTCTGTGGAGTTCCGAGACTTCCTGAAGGTGGCCCTAGATAAGAACCCAGAGACCCGGCCCAGTGCTGCGCAGCTCCTGGAGGTAAGCGGTTCCCCGCTCTGGGGGGGTGGCCCCCCGCTGCCTCGGCCCTGTCCCCGCTTTGGAGGCAGGACACGGCCTGGAAGCTGGGGGTGCTTCTCCTCAGCTCAGGCGGCCATAGGAACACCGTTTATTCATCAGCTGCTTCTGCCGGGGGCGGGGGGGCGGGGGGGACGCACCCCAGAGCCAGTCTTCATACAACTGATGTTCAGGTGGGGAAGACCTGCCGCGGACAGCGCGCAGGCGCACGGGGCGGGGTGGGGAGAAAAATAAAACTGCTCAGGAGGATGGGGGCCTGGGAGGGGTCGCTCTCCCAGAAAAGGAGGGCGCAGAGGGGCTCTGAGCAGACACCAGAAGGGGCGAGGGGACTAGGTGAGTGGCCGTGGGGAGTGGAGGCAAAGGCCGGGGCTGTGAGCCTGTTGGGGGAGGGCTGGAAGGCCAAGGCGCCGAGCCTGGGGTGAGGGCAGAGATCAGAGAGGTGTGCGGCCTGCTCACTCCTAGTTTGGATGGTTTGCCGAGAGCGGGCGCGTCGCCCCGTGGTACACTCACCGTGCCGATGCTTTGCAGCGGGACGCAGACTGCAGAAGGAGAGCGGGTGCTGGCGTGAAGCATCTCATCTGGCAGAGCGAGCCATGCCTGTTGGTCCGTGGTGGGCCCCTCCCCAGACCCAGGCTTCCAGCGGCCTGCTAATGCCTGGCCTTAGCATGGAGGAGGTGGTGGTGGTTTCCTAGAAGCTTTTAGAAATACAGGGGGGAACCTGGGAGCTGCCCTCCGCCTGGGCTGGGGCACACATCGCCTGCCCAGCCATCCTCTGGTCGGCGGGTCGCTGTACCCGGGCCATCAGTGCTGATGGGAGATGGAGAGAAAGTGGGCCTGGGTTCTGAGGAGGGGCCGCTCCCCTCACCTCGCCCACCCTGCTTCTCCCACGTATGTGACTCCGCCTCCGACGTGTGCTGGGGGCAAGGGACGTAGAGGCCACGCCAAGCCCCGAGGCTTTGTTCCCGGTCAGCCGCTTTCCCCGAGTACCTACTGTGTGCCAAACGCTGGGCCCCTGGCTGACGTGGGGGGCGACAGTGCATCCCTCTGGGGTGTGCAGCACAGTGGTTAAGTGTGTGGACTGTAGTTGTAAAGTCCTGGGTTCACATCCCACCGCTGCCGCTTCCTGGCTGTGAGACCCTAGGAGGTCGGTCTAGCTTATCTGTGGCTCTGTTCTTGCTCTGGAATGGGGTGATCACAGTGTCTCCCTGGCAGGGTAGCTGTGAGGGTTCAGTGTGCCCATACCGTGAAGTGCTTAGCTATGGGCTGTGCCCAGTGAATGATGCGTCGGATTCCAAACGAGTGTCGGGGCCTCCTTTTCTGGGTGTTGTGCTGGTGGGTGGGGAATGGGGGTGTGGGGGGCATCACGGTCAGATGCAAAAGCTCCGAGTCTCTTGGGGCCGATTTTTTCCTGTAAGCAGGCACCTCCTGGCCCGATACATCCGGCCCCTTGGACATTCAGGACATTCTGCAGGGAAGAGACAGCTGTCCCCCGTTCCCACATGGCGGCCTGGAGCCTCAGGCTGAGCCAGGAATTCTTACTCCACAGTTGGAAACAATGTCCCGCCAGAGGACTTGCAGTTCAGGACAGAGAGGGCTGCGGGAGGAAGGAGAGCTGCCTGGGGGGCCGCTGTCCGCCTTCTCCGTGTGCCTCCTTGTCTCCGGGTGTGGGAGGGGCCGCAGGACTTCCCGGGGTCACCCGGCTTTGAGTGACAGGTAGCCCGCCAGGTCTTTGGCTTCCCAGCGCCCCTAGTATCTGCCTGCTACTGGGAGGTTCCTCCTGGCCCCTCCCCCTCCACACTCGACCCCCTGTTCTACCCCAGCCCCCACTGGTTTCTGATCCACTCGCTCACTTGCACAGAGATTCCTGGGGTCCCGTCACGCGGCGGTTAGTAACCCAGGCTTTGAGATTGGGTCTGACCATCCAGAGTATGAATAGTGTCCTCTCTGTGCCTCGGTTTCCTCATCTGTGCATTGTGGACAGTGCTGGATTCATGGAATTGTGTGAGTGACTGGGATTCTGTACGCACCATTTTTAGCATTATGGTTGTCACGTCAGGTGCTCAGTGTACACTTGTTGAATCTGCGGGCATTCTTGTCGGGGCCGTCAGTGACTCTCACGTTGCTGGACTCGGTGGCGGGCTCCGGCCTCAGCGCTCGGCCCCTGGGGACCCAGCCTCGGTGGCCACAGCCGACCCTGCCCCTCATCGCTGTGAGCGCTGGGCTTCCGGGTCCCCGCACTCTGCTTGGTGTCTTTCCTTCTCACGGGTCACTCCTCCATGCCCTTCACCTGTGCCTCTTTCCTGTGACCGATCACCGTGGGAGCACACCAGGGCCTCGTCCCCCGTCCCCAGTCACCTCCGGGGTCCCACCCCGATTACAGCAGCGGCCATGTTTCCCCTGCAGCCCCACCTGCCCCACGTCTGCGTCCAGCTGTTTATGCTGCACCCCCACGCCGACATCCACACCCGAGTGCCCTTGGTTTCCACCGATGGCTGTCCTGCCTCAGTCAGTGGCAGCCCCTCCTCTCAGCCATCGGGCCCCAAACCTTGGAAGCGCCCTTGATGCCTCTCTCTCTTGCATGCTCCGTGACCATTCAGTCAGGAAGTCCTGTGGTCCCTGCCTGTGTCCCCAGTTCTGTGATGTCCAGAAGTGATCCCATCACTTCTCACCACTTCCATTGCCACCACGGGTCTGAGCTGCCATCAGTGTCTCACTTGGATTATTGCTTCCTCACCATCTCTTCTCAGTCTCTTCTCAGCACAGCAGCCAGAGGGAAACCTCCTGCCCCTCCTCCTCTGCTCCCCTCTCACTCAGGCTGTAGTCGCCAGCCTCAGTGCCCTGCAGGGTCCTGCATGATCTACCCACCCCGTCTTGACCCCTCAGATCTTCTGTCTTCTTCTTGTCCCCTCACTCGATGCCAGCCCCTCTGGCCTCCTTGCTGTATTTCAGACACTCCAGGCATACAACTACCTCAGGGCCTTTGCACGCTCTTCACATTGCCTGTAATGTGGTTTTCTGACACTTCCATGGTTGACTCTCTTTTTAAGTCATTGCCTCAAATATTAGCTTCTCAGTGAGGCTTCCACCCACCATCCTATTTCATACTGCAAACCTGCCACCCCACCCCCAACATATTCCTAATTCACCTTGCCCTGCCCACCTTTTGATTGTTTCCATGGCTTCCTTGTTTATTAAGTATATTGTTAATCTCCCTGACTAGCATGTCAGCTCTCTGAGGACAGCAGTCTGTTTTGTTCACTGGTGTGTCCCAAGTATCCAGGGGAGTGTCTGGTATGTAGAGGGCCCTCAGCAAGTATTCATTAAACACAGTTACTTATTTTTACTTAACAGACTATTGTGTAACCCTTTCTCCATGCCAGGTAGTATTCTGAATGCTTAGCAAATGTTAACTGATTTAATTCTTTTGACAATCCTATGAAGTACTCTTCAGATTTCCATCAAACAGATAGATGATAAAACCGAGACACAGAGAGGTTAGGTAGCCTGCACAAGGTCACACAGCTTGTAAAAGACGGAGCTAGGATTCTGATCCTGGGTGTCTCCTTCCAAAGCCTGCTCTCTTGACCGCTCTGGTAAGCCTCCTCTCTGAATGAATGAAGGAGAGAAAGAGGGAACGAAAGAGAACAAGAGAAAAGGTTAGCTGGGGGTGAATTGAGGGGTAGATGCCGACAACCAAAACCTGGAAAGTGGCGTCCGGCACTGACTGAAGCCAGCCTTGGAGTGTAGGACCCCGGGCCAGTGGTGTCTCAGCACACAGAGGAAGGCGAGGCTCCCGGTCCTGGAAAGGATGCCTGCGCAGATGGCAGAGGGGTCCTGGCCAGACGGCAGGGGCCGGTTGGTGAGCTGTGGCATCGCGGACTCCCTGCAGAGATGGGACTGAGCAGCTGGGCCTCTTCCTGAAGCAGCAGACAGCTGTGTGTCCCTCTGATGTGGGCCTCCTCCCGCAGGGGTGCGCGAGCATCTTTTCGGGGACCCGTATGCCCAGATGGGCCTGTCCCCTGGGAAGGCCCCAGCCCTCCTTGCAGGGAGAGCTTTGTCTCTCTGCTGAGCCTTGGCACTTTGGGGGTGGCTATTGTCCTTTTTAGAGCCATCCTTGCAGGTAGCGGAGCTGAGGCAGTGAGGGAGGTGGTCTGTGCCTTCCCCGCCAGGGCTGTTTACTGAACAGTGATCTGGGCCTCATCAGCCCCTGGAGGGCCTGGCCTGTCAGCCCTGTGTGCCTGGGGGTCCCGGGGTTCCATTCAGGGGAACTGCCCAGCTCACCCGCTCCTCTGTCAAAGGGCTTGCTTCCCCTCTATGTCCTGAGGACCCGGGACACTCATGGGAGGCAGTGGGGCGGATTGTCCAGCCTCAAGAATGACGCCAGCCATGCTGAAAAGCCACTAATTTGGTCAACATGTAGCGTGCCCTGACGAAAACCTGGTATTTCCTGTGCATTCCTTACTTCTGCCACATCTGCTTCAGCAACTGCAAGGAAGGGTCCTGTGTCTTCTTGCTCCAATTCCTGTGTGAGGTTGTGCGGTGTGAGGCTTAGGGACCTTTGGGATCTGATTCTCACCCTCTGTCCCAGAAGTCGTGCCCTGTGGGGATGCAGGAGGGAATTGGGGTGGCTGGGGCGCAAATAGCCATCAAGGCTTCTCTAACTGTGCTGGTGCTGGTGGCGGCGGCGGTGATGGTGTCAGTGACCGTGGCGGTGCATGGTGTTGGAGGTGATGTTAATAACCATGTGGATGATAGCTGCCACACTTGGAGCACTTACTGTAATGCTTCAAACAACCATGCTGTTATTCCCAGTATACAGATGAGCAAACTGAGGCCTAGAGGGCTTGAGTGACTTGCCCAAGGTGGGGGTGGAAGCAGGATTTCATGCTGGGCAGCCTGGCTGTAGAACGTAAAGCCAGTACTCTAGGCCTCCCATGCTTAGTAAGCCCTTATGAGTGCTCCGCTCAAGACCTGAAACCACACAGCGGCCAGACTGCTACCTTTCAAGGGTAACAGTTAATACCACTGCTCTGCTACACCCTCCAGCAGCTTCCAGGAAGAAAGTCTCCGCTACGATGTGGGGACCCTGCACTCACTACCCTGTCCTTCCTCCTCTGGCCCCTTCTCTCTCCTCTTCTGTAAGCCCTATCTCCTTGGCCTTCCAGCCATGCCTCCAGCACACAGGCTCAGTCCTGCCCCAGGGCCCTTGCACTCCCCCTGCCTGGAATTCTCAGTGCCCTGAGCTTTCCCTGGCCAGGGACCCCTCCCTCGGGTCTCAGCTCGACCATCACCTCCTCACGGGGGGGCCCCTGTGACTAAATAGCCTCCAGCGCTCAGGCCAGGCCCGTGGGGTTCCAGCCTCCTGCCCATTACCTGATCTGACATGATCTTGTTTGTGGGTTGGCCACACGCCTGTTGTCTCTCCCAGTCAGCTGCAAGCCCCCAGGGGCAAGGACCTTGTCTGTCCTGTTGTTGAGCCTTATCTCAGCAACGCGTGAGTGGCACAAACCAGATAGTGAACGGGGGCATGGGAGAGAAAGGAAAGAGTCGAAATACTTAACATCTTCGCTAGTTTGGATTAACCAAAGAAAGCCTGGCTGGTTCAGGGCTCTTTAAAAGGAGTGAGGTTTGCTCCTTTCACGTGTGCAGAGTTAGGTGACCAAGTGGAAGGGGGTATTGCCTCGCGACCTTGTAAACGAACAAGTAGATAAAAGTGATTCATAACGGACCTGTCGGTTGTGAACGTGGGTACAGGGCGCTAGAAAAGTTCTTCTTCGTCATTTACATGCTTTCCTGCAATCCTGTTGACACTGTTCCTCCCGCTGATAAGTTTTCTGATGATCAAGGTGGTGGATGTCATCAGAGCCTCCTCTACATTTCAAATGAGCAAATGCCACTTGAATGACTGCCCACTCCTGGGGCTGGGGGCTGGGGGCTGGGGGCTCGAGGACAGACTTCTACCACGGAGCTGCTTGTGCTGATTTAACGCCTGCTGAGGCCTTGAAAACTTTGATGTTTTGCAAGATGTGTGAAAGAACCTTTTTTTCTCTTTCCTTCTTTCTGTCCTTCCTTCTTCTCTCTCTTCCTCTGTCTTCCTTCCTTCCTCCCTCCCTCCCTTCTCCTCCCCTCCCCTCCCCTCTCCTTTCTCCCCTTCCCTCCCCTTCCTTTCCTTCCAGTGAGCCGGGAGGGGGGCCAGAAAGAGGAGGGGAAGGAGAGAGAATCCCAAGCAGGCTCTGCGCTGATGCAGGGCTTGAACTCACGAGCCACGAGATCATGACCAGAGCCGAAACCAAGAGGCAAATGCTTAACTGACTGATCCACCCAGGCACCCAGAGCCTTTGTTTTTTAAAGAGGTGACGTTTCTGCAAATGCCTAGGAACAGGACATATACGTCTTTGCTTTAAGAGTTTGCAAACACACGGGGCACCTGTTTGGGCTAAATGCTTCCTTGCTCATTATTTTGTTTAATCCTTACGGCCTCCCTGTGGGTTTGGCATTACTGTCTCCACTTTGGAGATGGATCTGTGGCTCATGGAGGGACAGTGACATGCTCAGTGTCACAAAGCTGGTGAGTGACAGAGCCAGGAGTCACCCTCTCCCACACCCACGGGACTTTCTGAGCTGCCTCTGGCCCTCCCTTGACCGAGTGCGTGTTCACATTTCGCTCAGGGATGCTTCTGGCCTCCTCTGCCTGGGAGATCGTCTCTCCCCCCAGCCTTTGCCTCCCTCTCCTGGACCCTCCAGCCCAAAGTGGTCCTAATCCGGGTGTGTCTTGGTCCCCCAGCACCCGTTCGTCAGCAGTGTCACCAGCAACAAGGCTCTGCGGGAGCTGGTGGCTGAGGCCAAGGCCGAAGTGATGGAGGAGATCGAAGATGGCCGAGAGGAGGGGGAAGAGGAGGACACCCCGGATGCTGCATCGGTAAGGCCTGGAAAAACGGGCGCCAGGGAAGCATGGGATCCCAGCAGGCCTTGGCTGGTAGGAGAGGGAACCTGGGTGTGTGTGTGTGTGTGTGTGTGTGTGTGTGTGTGTGCGCGTGCAGGAAGGACTCCTATTCCTCCCATGGCTGAGAGGCTATAGGCTCCCGAGTCACAGGCACTGTAAGTCAGCTTGTGGGCCAGCGTGAGGGTGTGCTGGCCAGATTCTGTACTTTTCGGGAAAGAGCAGTAATCTAGATTTTCATGCAGGATCTTCCAGGTTTTAAAAGTTGGCCGCTGAGTCATTGCTTCCCAGCTTTTTTCCTCTTGTGGCTCATATACAAAATGAAAATGGTTTAGCACACCATGGGGCAAATGCAGATAAAAGCTGCATGTGACCAGAGGCTACAAGCCAAGGGCCTCCGGGCACCCCAGACCCTGTTTGGCTTCGCCAAGTGCCCAGGGGACTCAGGTCTTGGCACATTTGCAGCCCATCTGCATCTTCAGCACTTGGCTGAATTTAAGTTTAAATTAAAGCTAATTTAAATTTTTGAAAACATTTGAGCCAAGCAAAACATGTCCGTGGGCTGGATTCTGCCCTGAGCTGCCGCTTTTGGATCCCTACTCTAAGCCGTTTGGGAAGGGTCTCTTCCAAGAGGGAACCTGCTGTGCAGAGGGTGCTATGGACCACATGAGGCAGGGGCTGGCCTTGCCCGTAGGGAATGGACAAGACGACGCTGTCTCCATGTTCATGGAATGCTAGCGGAGCCGAAGGCTGGTGTGCACCCTTACCAGGCTGAAGGAGGGAAGTGCCGAGGAGGATGGACAGAGCAGCACAGTAGCCACAGCCTCTTCCTGAGCCCTCGCTGGGTGCTGGGTACTCTGCTACTCTGATAGGAGAACCACGGCTCCATCTAATAGATAGGAAAACTGAGGTCCGAGCAAGGAAGTGGCTCGTTGAGCTGATAGGAGGCAGGTATAGGAGAGCCATGGTGGGAGAGGGAGGTGGTGGGCCTGGGGCCTGGCTCCAGGAGGTGACAGCAGGCATTGAGGCTAGGGAGGGACGTAGCCAGCAGTCACACCGGCCTGGTTCTCTGCAGGTGGGAGGCTGATCCTTGTCATGAGGGCAGGGGTGGCTAATGAGGGTTTCAGGCAAGGGCTGGGCATTGGTGTGGGGCTGATAGGATCAGATCTGAATTTCTGAACCATCACCTAAGGGGTGTTGAGTAGGAGGTGGATGAGAGTTGTTTCTGGAAGCTTCCATATCCAAGGTTAAAAACCCATGGCCATTAGGACCCAAGGGGGTGCTGTGGTGCTATTCCATTAATATCAAATTTAAAAACCGGCAAACTCACTTATAACGCTTTGAGATCAATGTCAGGACAACTATTAGGTTCAGGGGAGGGACAGACATAGGTGGGGGCCTCTCTGGTGAGCAGGGTTTCATTCCTGACGAGGGTGGCTACGTGGGTGCTCACTTTTATCCATTCATTGGACATTTATAGTTTATTCACAGACATGGGTGTTGTATTTCACAACAGCAACATTTCTAGTACTTTCCACATCCCCCCCCCCCCCAAAAGCTCTAAAGAACAAAACAAAACAAAACTTTAAAAACTCAGTGGCTTATAGGCTGAAACTAGCCCCCTGGATAGTTTGGGTTGGGTTTTCATGCAGCTAAACAAACCAAACCAAAGGGCTGGAATTAGTTGCCCTCTAAAAAATCAGAAGGTGTCAGATAAAAATTTACACTCTAGCTTGTCTTAAAACAAATTGGAAGGTCTGTCTACAGGGGACCCATTTTCTTATATTGTCACAGTTAGCGAAGCAGAGTAGCCACCGCCACTTTCAGACGGGGCAGCAGCTGTCCGGCTGGCCACAGTCCTAGAAGGAATAGCAGGCCTTAACTCACAACAAGTGGTGATTTTATTGTGGGCTGGGCAGTAGGGAAGGTTGAGGACTGTGGCTCACTGGAGAGGGATTGCCGCTCTTGTCCTTGGTTCTGGCCTACTCGACCCTGTGGCTGCCTGACTCTCCAGCCCTACTGCATCTTGGACTCTTGCCTTAGACATGAAATAGCATGGCCTTGACTCTTGGTTTTTTTTCCCCCTAGCCTCTGGGAGACCATACTCGAGACTCTTCTGAGGTGAGTCAGATGAGTCTCAATACTGACAAGCTTCCCAAAGAATCCTCTTTCACCCCACTGCCACCCAGCCAGCCTCAGGATGGTGTGAATGGGCCCAGCCAGCCCTCTGGGGACAGATGCCTCCGAACTGCCAGCCCCCCGGATGTAGCTCCCGGAGATGAGAATGGCCTGACCGTGCCAGCCCCACTCCGAAAGTCCCGGCCAGTGTCCATGGATGCCAGAATTCAGGTAGCCGAGGAGAAGCAAGGTGCTGACCAGGGTGGGGACCTCAGTCCAGCAGCCAGCAGGTCCCAAAAGGCCAGCCAGAGCCGTCCCAACAGCAGCGCCCTGGAGACCTTGGTTGCTGAGAAGCTGGCCAATGGCAGCCTGGAGCTCCCTGCCCAGGCAGCTCCGGGCCCTTCCAAGCGGGACTCAGACTGTGGCAGCCTGTCCACTTCCGAGAGCATGGACTACAGCACCTCCCTCTCAGCCGACCTGTCCCTGAACCGAGAAACAGGCTCTCTGTCCGTCAAGGTAATGCCACTTCTTGTACCTCGGGTTTGGAACCGGAGTGTTGCGGGAGGTTACTGCTGCCCGGGTTTGGGTTTTGAAAGCATCTAGTTAGTGGGTGCCTTCCATCGTGAGTGGTTCGTGACGATGGCTCTTCTTGAGAGAGCTTTGGGCTCAGTTCATAGTTTAATCTCCGGAATATCTGGGTTCAGTGTGGGATTTAGTTGTGCCAAGCAGTTGAGTCAGGTTTAAGTTTCGATTTGTGTAGCCATTTAAATTGGGTTTGGTTAAAGGCCCGGGTGAAATTTGGAAGACAAGGCTAGGAATGAAGTTCTCTTATTCTGGGGTCCGCCAAGTGGTCCGGCTGCTGACGGGTAGATTCGGTTATAGGGAGTGGGGTCAGTGGCCTTTCTGGAGGTGGGTAACATTGTGAATGACAGCAGCCACTGTGCTTGGGCCTCAGCATGGAGGCCAACACTGTGAAGCACTTTAAAGAAAATGGAGGGGCCATTTCTCAATGATGAGCAAACAGATGCTTAGGTGGGGAGTGGAGGGCTGCTCAGACCCATGGACTCTGTGCTCTGAACCCCATGTGCCATTCTGCTTTTCCAGTGCAGGGGTGGCCGTCTTCCCAGGGTGGACTGACCCCTCCCCTGCCCACTCTGATACATCTCAGGGTGTTCTTGTCACTGTTGGCCACTTGACTAGGTCACACTGAGGGTCTTCCCCAACCAAGGCTGATCGTAGGGAAGATACTGTATCATTTTGTTTTTTCTCCTGTTGTTTACTTGGTGGAAACCACACAGTAGAGACTCAAACATATTTGCTAAATGAAAGGAAGTGAAAGAATGAAAAGCAGCCAGCCAATCCAACATTTAGCCTCAGGAACAGAAAGACAGCCCGGTTCTAACACGTCACCAGGACAGGCACAGACACACACAGCTCTTCTGTACATGTAGCATCGGGGCCCATCATCTTCCTTCAGACGGATGTCCTGTCTCTTCTCTACTGGGAAGAAAAAAAAAAAAAAGGCCAGAGCAGGGTCTCCCCCTGCCTGTTGTCAAGGGTGTTGAGAACATTCCTTTGCTGTCTGATAGGCAGGGAACGCTCTGTCCACGGGCTGGGTCAGCACACCTTGGTGAGATGAAGGGCTTGTTACCTTGGGGGCAGGAGGCCCTGGGATCAGGGTTCTAGGGTGAGGGTGGCAGCCCCAGGCTGCCTTTCTCCCCAGCCACTCCCCGTTTCTAACCACTAGTCTTGAGTTGGCCCTAGGACATGTGACTGGGTGTCAGGTCACATCAGGAAGATGGGAGTCAGGTGTGGTTGCTGGGAAGTGGTGGAGACCTTGGGGTGGGGGGTGGGAGAAGCCGAGCCCTCAGGGAGCACAGACTGTCTGCTGGTCCTGGCTGAGCAGGAATGGGGGTTCAATGCACACTTTAAGGGTGCCACCCTGGCCTGCCTGCCCTTTTCTGGCTGGAGGGCCCCTGGGAGCAGTGATGGGAAAGTAGGGCTGGGCTCCAGCAGGAAGGGCTTTGGAAGCCAGTGGAGGTGAGAGGGGGAGATGCTATGATGACTCCAGTGTAGGCCCACGGGTTCTTAGGTGAATCAGGACACCCTGGGAGTCCCAGAAGCGTTCTGTGAGCGCTTGCATCTGAAATGCATGGTTATTCGCAGGGAAAGATCATGAATAATTTCATGGTGGCTCAGATGGGCATGGCCTCCTGTGCTTCCAAATCAGTTCTGAACTTCAGTTTGCTGGGCTCTTTCTTTGGATTTTGGCCCAGTGGGTAAGAGAGTGTGGTCTGCAGTAATAGCTGAGCTATAAATACCAGACACTGCACAGGTGCCATGAGCTGGGCTCTGTGCTGTGTCCCCCACGCATTCTCTCCCTGTTACCTTTGTAACCATCTTGGGCAAGGCAAGTACTGCTGTTCTCTTCCTCTGACAAGTTGAGGAAGCTGAGGCTTGGACAGGACAAGGGACATGCTCAGGATCACAGAGTCAGTAGTGGGTAGAAGGAGGGTTAGAACCCAGGCTGTTCTGGTGCCATGTCCTATGTGTGAGTGTGCTGGCAGCCAGGTGTGGGGCCAGTGAATAGTGTCGAAGGCCAAGATCAGGGGGATGAGAGGGGTGGGGTAAGCCCAGACACTCAGGACCCCAAGTTGAGAAGCTTGAGGCAAGAGGGGGACGATGGACAGCTATGTCGTATCTGGAAGTCGAGGCTGTGGGGCCAGGAAGGCTCTGCGCCACACTCCTGTGTCATCCACAGATTCCTAACTGAAATCCTGAGCTTTACCTAATGATTCTACCCTGCCCAGGACTCAAGGCTGCACAATAAAACCCTCAAGAGGACACGCAAGTTTGTGGTGGATGGCGTAGAGGTGAGCATCACCACCTCCAAGATCATCAGCGAGGATGAGAAGAAGGATGAGGAGATGCGATTTCTCAGGCAAGCCTGGGAAGGGCCACTGACGCTGTAACAGTGTGGGGGTGTGGTGAGAGGGAAGGGTGTAGGTTCCATTGGTCAGGGAGCTGTCTACAGCTGTGGAGTGAGGGATCAAGGACATGAAAAGAAATTGGTTTTGTTCCTGCACTTCCCGGTCCACCCAACCATCCATCTACCCACCTACCTATCCATTCATTCACCCACCTGCCCGTATATTTACCTGTCTGTCCACCTACTCATCTGCCCACCACACATCCACCCATCCACTATTTGTCTACCCACCATCCACTCACCCATCCATCCATCTATCCCCCTACTCATCTACCAACCATCCATCCATTCACCCACCCACCCATCCACTCATCTACCTACCCATCCATCCATCTACTCACCCACCCGCCAACTCATCCATCTCCCCACTCACCTACCCATCCATCTACTCACCTACCTGTCCATCTACTCATTTACCCATCCATCCATTCATCCACCCACTCATCTATCTGTCCACCTATTCACCCACTCACCCATCCCTCCACTTATCTACCTACCCATCCATCAATCCACCTACCCATGTAGTTGCCCATCCACCAGGGTGGGGTGTATGGTGGTGATCCAGATAGCTGAGGGTGTTGCCGTTGTAGAACTTGAACCTAATGGGCCAACAACACAGGATACACAAGATAATCCTCAGTAGTGGTACACGCCGTGAAGGAAGTAGTGGGTGATAGGATAGCAAGCCCCAGGGCTGGGGGAGGCTCCTCTGTGTGTGGGAAACTCCCTGAGTGGAGTGGCTGGGGGAGCCCAGATGTGCTGCGAGGCTAAGGCCAAAGCAGTGACTACTGGGCTTGTTTAGGGAGCTGAGAGGGTAGGGCTGGAGTGCAGAGCGTGGGGCAGAGGTCACGTGGGCCTGTGGGCCAGGGTGGAGGAGTGTGGATTCTATCCCAGGTATAGCCAGAGTGAAACAGCTGGAGAGTGACCAGCTCTCATGTCCCTCTTGAAAGATGGCTCTGGCTGCTGTATGAGTGTGGGCTGTAGAAGGGCAAGGTGGACGCAGGATGACAGGGAGACCCCGTCCAGGACAGCTGGGCTGCAGGCTCGGGCTGGGGCAGTGACTGGGAAGAGGGAAGGAGTGGTCAGTTCCACTTGCGTTTTGGAGGCAACAGCATGGAGACTGGTGAGGCGGGGAGAGTGTGAGGCAGAGCTGTCTTCTGTGAACCATCTTTGCACTTTGGAGGTGCTCAGGCCCCTAACAGCCCTCCACGGGGAGACCCTATTTCCACTATTTTGTAAATGACTAGACTGTTTTTCTTGGCAGGTAAGTACTTGCCCCGGGTCACCCAGGTTCAAAGGTAGAGCTAAGATTCTAACTAGACCCGTGTGAAGATTCCACCAGTCTGGAAGCTTCCTGGGGCTGCCAGGGGTAGGCCGAGCTCCCCCTGGAGCTCCCTTTGGGGCCAGGCCTTTGCAGGGTAAATTCATGATTATTTTGGAGAACATTTCTAGAACATCAAACACATCGATACTTTTAGCACAGGCATTCCAAAGCCAAGTGGAAGTGGTTTTGGATGCTGGGGTATTTCCCCCTCTAGGGACCCCAGAGATGAGACACTGCCTTTTCATTAGTGGTTTTCTTCATGAATACACATACACGTGTGTACACACACACACACACACACCTGTCCTCATCATGTGGGCTGGGGAAGCTCAGGCAGGGGGGGCGGGGGGATGGTTGCTTTTGGAGGATGACACCACCTTCCATTTTCATGGTCACCTGGGAGGCAACCTGTCTCCTAAGTGCAGGCCTCATGGGCTGAGTTTCCTTTCCATCATCTCTCCGGGTGGTTCAGGTTTCTGGGTTGAAATCCTAGATCCACCATACCCCATCTAGAATGGATGCTCTCTGGCCCTGGCCAGCTGTGTGCTGCTCAGGTTTGAAAGGTGAGACTTCACAGAGGTGGAGAAGCTTTTCTTATTTGCCTGTCATGGTCCAGAGGGCTGAGTGTCCTATATACCCGCTGCCATGCTCTGCAGGGGTGCGCCAGGCTCCCATTGTTTCCTGGCTGGCCGTCCCCGCCTCCTTCCCCTCCCCCCTTGTCCCTGTCATACCTGGATGCTAGGATTTCCAGAGGATTGGGTCACACACAGGCTTTTGAACCATGAGATCGGATATTCGCTCTCCCAGATTGAGGCTCCTAGGTCAGAGTTCTTCCTGTTTTTCCCTAAGATTGCTGGTGCCAGTGCCCGCCTTCTTAAGAATCTTAAGAATCAGCCTGGCTCTTGTTCTGCCTTCCCTGGTAAGAACCCAGGTAGGGCAGGGAGGTAATGTTAGAACCTGGCTGCCTACCTTCTTTGGTATGCTTTTGCTTTTTGGTCAGGTGTTCTTTGAGCCGTAGTTTTTCTGGAGTTAGGATTTCTGTTTCTTTGTTAACATTCTTGACCCTTTCACTGCCCCAAGAGCAGAGGCTCAGATGGAAGCTTTCTTATGTGGCCGTGGAGAGTGTCTCTAGTTTTCCCGAGCCTGGGCAGCCTCTGCCTCTTCTTTCTCATGCGCACTCCAGCAGCCACCACTTCCTGTTAGTAACAGACTTAGCAAGCTTTACCACTTAGTTACCATGTCAGCCTCACACCAGGCAGGCACAATGGGCATCACCGCATTTTACCCTTAAAGAACCTGAGAAGTAGACATGATCTGTGCATTTTACAGATGAAGGAACAGAGGCCTAGAGTTTGAGAGACTGCCTGGGGTGCCCCGCTGAAAGTTAGCAGAGCTACGATTCAAACAAGGTCGCTTCTGAGGGGCCACCTGATTCATAGTCAGGAGGCCCAAGTTCTTTCTGCGTCATTTTCTTTTCTTTCTCGTTCTTTGTAATTTTTAAAAATGTTTGTTTGTTTTTGCAAAGAGGAGAGACAGAGTGCCAGGGGAGGGTCAGAGAGGGAGGGAGACACAGAATCTGAAACATGCTCTAGGCTCTGAGCTGTCAGCATAGAGCCCAACACGGGCTCGAACTCACAGACTGCGAGATCATGACCTGAGCTGAAGTCAGATGCTTAACCGACTAGGCCACCCAGGCACCCCATCATTTTTTTTTGATGATATAAATGATTTATATCAATCTTTAATGGATTTGTCCAGAAACACCATGAACAGTTCGGAGTTTATCCTGCAATTATTTTTTTCTGTGAGTAAACACCTATACACATCCACAATATATGTGTTATAAAATTAAGATCTATTATGTGGTTTAGGTCAGGTTTTTATTGTATTATGTTTTGAATAAGTAATGTAATATGGTTCAAAATAAAAAAAAATAAAAGGAAAGGGTAAATGTGCAAAAACTCCCTCCCTTTTCCATCAGGCATCCAGTTCTCCTCTCTGTGTTAGTATTTCATGGTATAGTCCTTCTTGTAGTAATGTTTCAAAAAGAAAGTGAACACACACACTATCTTGTCTTTAATTTTTCACCCAGAGGGTAGGGTAACATAATATACCCACTCGTCGACACCTTGCTTTTTTCACTTAGAGATTATTCCATATCTGTTTATAAAGAATTGTCACAATTCTGGGGCGCCTGGTGGCTCAGTCAGTTGAGCGTCTGACTCTTGATTTTGGCCAACGTCATGATCCCAAGGTTGTGAGAATGAGCCCTGCGTCTGACAACATGCAGAGTGTGAATGAAAAACGCTTGAGATTCTCTCTCTTCCCCTGGCTTGTTCTCTCTCTCTCTCTCAAAAAAAAAAAAAAAAAAAATTGTCACATTTTTAATAGATGTTTTTCCATGTAATTAAATATTTTATAAAACTTGATTCTTTTCATGGTTGTGTATACAAAACTAACATATGGATACCAGGTGGATACATTTTAATTTATTTAATTAGACCTAGATAATAGTCATTTACGTCATTTCCAGTTTTGTGGTATTATAAATAATTTTGTTATGGATATCCTTATTCAGTGGTGCTGTGCATCTATGAATATTTCTTTATTTTTTAATGTTTTATTTATTTCTGAGAGAGAGACAGAGGCAGCGTGAGCAGGGGAGGGGCAGAGAGAGAGAGGGAGACACAGAATCTGAACGTGGCTCTGAGCTAGCTGTCAGCACAGAGCCCAACACAGGGCTCAAACCCATGAACCGTGAGATCATGATCTGAGCTGAAGTTAGATGCTTAACTGACTGAGCCATCCAGGCGCCCCTGAATATTTCTTTAGAATCAATATCTAGAAATGGAAATGCATGTTAAAAGGCATGAACTTATTACCAAATTGTCCTCCAGAAATGTGCGAATTTAAACTTATGAGCAGGTTATGAAAGTATTAACTTTCCCCTATAGTCTTGCCTTTTTAATGAAAATGGAATTTTTAATTTGCATTTCATATCCATATTAGGTAAATTAAAAAATTTTTTTTGGTTCATGTCTTTATGTTTTCTGTCCCTTTTTAAATTAAAAAAATTGTTTTAACATCTATCCATTTTTGAGAGTGGGGAGAGACAGATTGAGAGAGGGCGGGGAGAGAGAGAGAGAGAAAGAGGTAGACACAGAATCCTAAGCAGGCTCTAAGCTCTGAGCTCTTAGTTAGCACAGAGCCTGACACAGGGCTTGAACCCACAAACCCTGAGATCATGACCTGAGCCAAAGTTGGACGCTCAACCGACTGAGCCATTCAGGTGCTCCTTGTGTCCTTTTTTTAAAAGTAGGCTACTCCTGTTTTTCTTATTGATTTGTAAGTACTCTTTATACATTAAGATTATTAATGTTTTGTCTGTCAATAAATGTCAAATTAAGCCTGAGTTCTAGTTCTGCCTCTGCCCCCAGACTTTTGTGATGCCGTTCCATGCTCCAGCATTCAGTGTCTCTGGCTATGAATTATGTGGTCTCTGAGGCGGGCCACTTTCTCACTGGCATGTCTGCATCCTTTAACCCTGCAGGCGCCAGGAGCTCCGAGAGCTTCGGCTGCTCCAGAAAGAAGAACATCGGAATCAGACCCAGCTGAGCAGCAAGCATGAGCTGCAGCTGGAGCAGATGCATAAGCGTTTTGAGCAAGAAATCAACGTGAGTGTGAGAACACACGGGACCCTGTAGGGCTTCTTCCCTCCATGCTTTCCTTGGGGGCAGTAGAGAGCCCTGTTCCTTTGGTTGCTTGGTCTCATTGGCTATTGACTTGTAAACACAGAATCTCATGAAGGTCACATGCTCCTCTGAGTCGTGTAGGAGGGTCTCCAGAGGGAGCCTGACCTTTGCTGGGCCCCTTGCAAGAACTCTGCAAGGTAGATCTTCTGGTCTCCCTTTCATACATGAGACGACAGAGACTCAGGTTAAGTGACTTGTCCCGGGTCACACAGCAAAGAGGTGGTAGAGCTGGGATTCAAGCCCAAGTCTGAAGAGAAGCTCTGGGCTCTCCCCATCTTGCTTCCCATCTTCCTCCCAGGTAGAAAGTGACTTTGCTCAGTTTCTCCTTCCACTCCTTCCAGGCCAAGAAGAAGTTCTTTGACACAGAGCTGGAGAACCTGGAACGCCAGCAGAAGCAGCAGGTGGAGAAGATGGAGCAAGACCATGCCGTACGCCGCCGGGAGGAGGCCCGGCGGATCCGCCTGGAGCAGGATCGGGACTACGCCAAGTTCCAGGAGCAGCTCAAAGTGATGAAGAAGGAGGTGAACATGTGCTGGGCGGAGGCCGGGGCGTCTAGGTTGCAGGTGATCGAAACCCCAGCTCCGTCGCACTTCAGCAACAGAAGAGACTTTGGGGAGCTCATATAACCCGAAAGGCTCATGGCCATGGGTCCGGAGTTCTGTGCTCCAGCTGCAGTATGAGGAGCTACTTCTCTGTCATTTGGGCCCTCCTTTCCTGTGTTGAAATCCCAGCTCAGCCACCCCAGCTCCAAGAGAGTAGGGGAGGAGAAAGGGCTGGCAGCCCAGGGGGGGGTCTGAGATGCTCCCACCAGAATGGGGGAGCGGGTGCTGGGTGGCAAACACAGTACATCTTTTGTGCCCTGCCTTCTCTCCTCCTAAAACAACAGTCCCCTAGTTGGGACCTACATGGCTCTTCTCTTTCCTCTCCGGGTGGAAGTGACAAAGAGGTAGATGGTCCTGAGGCCAGGGGAGGGAGGCGTATCTCCCAGCCTGCCCTGAGGAAGGGCACCTGGGTCTCAAAGAAGAGCGCACACTGCCCTGTGTGGAGCCTGCTGCCGGCAGGCTGAGACATACTTGCTGGCTCATTCCCAGTCTCCAGACCAACAGCTTCTAAGGGTGGTCCGTGGTGCTGCAGGCTTCAGAGCCCAGCTCCCAGGCTGCATTGTATGGAGGTGACATTTGTTGTATCCCAGGGGCCCCGGGCAGCTGCAGCGGCTGCGCTGGAGCGGGAGCACAAAACCTAAGCGGGGGTGCCAAAAACCTTGGTAATCAAGACAAATAATATAGTAGTGTAGTGTTTTAAAATCAAAGTTATTATAAAGTACTCATGATGAATGCACTGTCCGCTATTTAAAGTCAGGAATCAACAGGGCCACGTTTAGGGTAAGCCGGTGAGGATGGGTCCGACAAGTACTGGGCTGGATCCTGTCTGTATTTACAACTTGGATATTATGTTCACGATTCTTTGTTTGGCATGGATGTTGATTTAAAAATTTTTAAAGTATTTTTGAGAGAGAGAAAAAGCGCATGTGCATGCAGGGGAGGGGCAGGAGGGCGAGGATCTGAGGCCAACTCTGAGCTGACAGTAGAGAGCCTGATGCGGGGCTTAAACCCACGAACCGTGAGATCATGACCTAAGCCAGAGTCGGACGCTTAACCGACTGAGCCACCCGGGCGCCCCCGAATTTTTATTTTTTTAGAAAATGTAATTTATCTTGATTATTGAGAGTTTTGGTATTTGATGCTTGGTGCCTCACTGGCCTTACCCTGGCCCCAGATCTCCTTCTGGGGTACGGCACTGACCTAAACATATCCCCAGCTCTCGTGCAAGTGCGGGAGCACAGGCTTGGGAGTCAGGTCCGGTTCGGAGTCTTGGCTCTGGGTCACTAACTGTATTGAGCTTTGGACAAGCGACCTTCCTGAGTCGTAGTTACCTCCTATCAAAACGAGAGCTATTTAGCACCTCTTTTCTTGACTGTCTACACATATGGCCCTGTGCTAGGCGCTCGGGGCACTCACCAAAATAGATAGGGTCTCTATCCTCAAGAAGCTGTTAATTGCCATGGAATCCAGAATTTTTTGGCCATTTCCAGTGTTCATTTAAAAAAAAATATTTTTGAGAGCGAGAGAGCACGAGGGAGGAAGGAGAGGCAGAAGGAGAGACGGAATCCTAAGCAGGTCCATGCTCAGCACAGAGTCCAACATGGGGCTTGATCCCATGACCCTGGGATCATGAGTTGAGCCAAAGCCAAGAGTCGGATGCTCAACCAACTGAGCCAGCCGGGCACCCCTGATGTGCGTTTTCCATACCAGTCTCTTTCTCCTTTCCTTCTGGCTCTCGGCAAAACACAAATATCAGACCCTTGGTATTTTTTGGTATTTTCCTGTGAGTCCCTAAACCTTTAGTTTTCATTATTTTCTTTCTCTCTGTTGTTCATGTGGTATAATTTTTATTAGTCTTCGAATTCACGGGCTTTTCTGTCGCCTCCACTCCACCCTGGGTCCATCCAGCGCTTTCTGTGTTTTTAATGTTAGATGCTTTATTGTTTGGTCCTAAGCTTTCTAATTGTCTCTGTTGTAGAGTTTGTATTTCTCTGTGGCAACATTCTCTCTCTCCATTAAGTTCAAATATGTTTGCCTTTACGTGACGGAGTGTGGTTATAAGAGCTGCTTTCCAGTTTTTGTCTGATCATTCCAACATCTGTGCCACCTTGGAATTGACATGTGATGATTTTTTTTTTTTTGCAAACAGGTCACATTTCCTGATTGTATGTAGAGTAATTTTGGATTCTATCACTGATATTTTGTGAATGCTCTAGTCTGTAGACTCTGGGTCCTGTTATAGTCTGGAAAACGCTGACTTTTTTGGTTTAGCAGGCAGTTGATCAGTTAGGTTCAGACCACAGGTTCTGTTCTGCCTTCTGTGGGCGGTGGCTCTGACGGCAGTGTAGTTTTCAAAGCCCCTGCCGGCCCGCTTCGGGTCTGTCTTGCTCCTGCTCGGCTCGGGGGAGCGGAGACGTGCATGGGCTCATGCACAGAATGAGGGTTTCCCTCCGGCTGTCTTCTTTCTGGGGTTCTTCCTACACCCTGATTTGCAGGCCCCTTTTCCCGGTTCTCTGGCCAGAAGCACGAGGTTTCTTACAGAGTCTTACCTGCCGTTCGCACTGCACCACCGTGCAGGTCTGGGAGTGGCGCAAAGCCAGGACTGCAAAATGGAAAACAAACGAGGAAACTCGCTCCTGTATCGGCCCCTCCTACAGGCTTTGACTCCTCTGATAGTCACCCACTTCTGTTTACTTTTGAGTCCTCAGGTAGTTGTTTTCAGGTAGTGGTATTTTCTCCAGGGCTTTGCATTGTGATCGGCAGGAGAGAGAGAGGCTTACACTGACCATGCCAGAAGAACTCCCTTGGAATATTCTTTTGATCATGGCCAGTATTTTTCCACCAGCTGTGCTCCTAAGAGCCCTCTGTCAGTGAATTTAGGGTGTCAGGCTCCTATAGAGGTGTGGGTTCCTTAGAACTGTCTGAGGAACTCCGGGTGCCTTAGAGAGAAATGTCATGAATCTCTTCTCCCCCTTCTTTTTTTAAAAATTTTTAATGTCTTTATTTTATTTTGAGAGAGACAGAGAGTGAGCGGGGGAGGCACAGAGAGAGAGGGAGACCCAGATTCTGAAGCAGGCTCCAGGCTTTGAGCTGTCAGCACAGAGCCCGACGCGGGGCTTGAACCCACGGACTGTGAGATCATGACCTGAGCCGAGGTGGGATGCTTAACCTACTGAGCCACCCAGACGCCCCTCTCTTCTCCTTTTTCTAAAAGACAGAAGCTGGGGGCACCCAGCTGGCTCATTCGGTAGAGTGTGCAACTCTTGATCTCAGGGTTATGAGTTAGAGCCCCACATTGGGTGTAGAGATTACTTAAAAATAAAAAATGAGTAATAATATGAAAGCAGAAATCCACTTCCAGCTGGCTTGAGAACACTTACAGGCCTCTGACCAGGAGGCCACAAGTGTCATTGGGAATGCTTTTTTCATGTCTTGGCATTGCTTCCTTGCACTGATTTTTTTGTTGCTGGCGGGCCCCTCCAGGGTAGCCCACCGCGGCCTACATGCTCCTAGTTTAGCAACCCCGGAGGGCAGAGAGCTGCCTTCTTTGATAGTTCCAGTGCACATCCTAAAGCTCTCACTGGCCCAGCAAGGGTCACAGGCTCATCTCTGACCCAGTCCCTGAGGCCCGGGCCTGGAACACGTGGCCCAACAGCCTGCGTCGTATGTATGCCTGGCCCAGAGCCAGATGGAGGTGGAGGGTGTCAGCACCACCTGAACCCTCAGGAACAGAGGGGGGTTCCTAACACATGTATTCCTAAGCAGGGAGATACCACCTTTGAGGGCTGAGAAAAAGCTTCGGTTATTATAAGGGTTTAACAGATTGACGGTTTGTGGGGTTAATATTTCATGGTGGTGGGTGATTAGGAAGAAACTGTCTATAGAGGTTTCTGGGGGCACAATAGTGAAAAAAGGCTAGGAAGGGCCGCCCTAAAGGAAAGGAAGGTGCTGCCAGCAGAAAGTGGTGACCTCTTCGCTCTGGGGGAGTCTGAAACCCGAGGCGGCAGCAGACAGGAGTAGGCAGTGGGGACCCCCTGTCAGAGGGGCTTGATGGAGAGCAGGGTGGGGGCCAGTGTCTAGAAAGCTGAGCCTTGTCTTTGGCCTCCCTGGCTCAGGAGTCCTGGTGTCGCGGACTTACTTCCAGGAAGTGTGAGGTGGGACGCGGACCCTGGCCTGACGCACCCTCTGCTATTTCTGGTACAGGTGAAGAACGAGGTGGAGAAGCTCCCCAGGCAGCAGCGGAAGGAGAGCATGAAGCAGAAGATGGAGGAGTATGCACAAAAAAAGCAGCTTCTCGTGAGTCCTTGACCCTGAGCTGGGGAATAGAGGGGTTGGGTAGTCCCAGGTGTGAGAATCTGAGTGATGATCAGGTTCCTCCTCTGTCTTAAATCCAGCCTTCCTTGATTGCTCTCACTCCAGCTAGAAGGGAGCTCCCTGTGGACACTCCAGCCCTTCATATCTGGGTCTGAGGGCTGTTTGTAGGTCGTGTCTCTTTGAATAACCCAGTACATCCACCTGCCCACTTGGCACCTTTTGGAATCTTCGACATCCAAACCACGACCTCCCAGACCTGGTCCTGTTCTTGTATTCTGAGGGGGCACTGTCCTCCATCCTGCTCTCAGGCCAGAAACCTTGTCATTTCTGACACTTCCTTTCCCTCCAACCCTTTATCGCCTCCTGAACATGGATTTTGTTTGTTTTTAAGCTCCAGACTGTCTCTGGATCTGCCAACTCTGTCCGTATGTCTGTGACTCCCTAGCCATTGGCATCTTTTGCCTGGACTGCTGCAGTAGCCTCCCAGCTGGCCTCCCTGCTTCCTCTCTTGCTCTCCCACCAGCCGGTGTAATCAGTATGAACTCCAGATCTGATCATGTCACCCTCCCCTACAGCCTTGTGTCCTGAAAACCTTCAGGGGCTCCCACTGTGTCCATAAGACCAGACCAGCCTCCTCATGTGCTTACAAGGCTCTGTGGGTCTGGCGCCTGCCAGCCTCTCCCCACTCAACTGAGTCCCCTCCGCCCCAGCCTCACCGGCCTTCTCCTTGGCCCTTGTCGGACCGTGTGCTTGTTTTTCTCCCACTATGGAGTCTGTGCATTTTGCTGCCTCTGCCCCCAAACGTACAGAAAATTAGAGTCGACTCTTAAAATGCTTTTGTATATCACCTGGCTTAGCATTCATGGCTTACCAGGGTAGGTGCCGTTTGTTTTTCCCTTTGCAGAGAAGGAAAACAAGGCTTATAGAGGTGACTTTGTACAGTTAATGTTAGGGGCCAAGGCCTCAAACTCAGTCTGACTCCAGTCTTGATGTTCTCCCCAGGATGCCATCGTACTTGCCTACAACCTGTCCTTTGATGCTATGATCAGAAAAAAAATGCAGGGCTGGGGAGGGTGGGGGAGACAGGCCCCTATCCTCAGAGAGAGCAGATTGACCCTTTAAGGGGGGGCATTCTCGCAGTGGCATCAAGAGCCTCAAAAATGTACACATTGTTGGCCTGGATTTTTCTGCTTCTAGAGACTAATCCTGAGGATTAATCATCACAGAGGTTCACAAATAATTCGCTACCAGAGTGTGAAGAGCAGCACCATCTAAAATAGATGGAGCCCGGGGGGCTTAGTCTGTTAAGCGTCCAGTTCTTGATTTTGGCCCAGGGCACAATCTCCCAGTTCATGAGTTTGAGCCCCGCATCAGGCTCTGTGTGGACAGTGCAGAGCCTAATTGGGATTCCTCTCTCCCTCTCTCTCTGGCCCTTCCCCACTCTCTCACTCTCTCAAAATAAATAAATAGAGACAACTTGGAAACAAATTTTTAGGTATTGCATGAATAAGGTTAGGGTAGATCTGTGTCACAAAATACATTTGGCCATCAAGACTCATTTGATTAGAAGATTACATGGAAAGGCATTATTCATTTTTAAAAATGATAGTAAGATAAGACATAACAAATTTAGCACCATACACATTTTTAAGCATCCAGTTCAGTAGCATTAAGTGCATTCACACCGCTGCACAAACCACCACCACCGTCCCTGTCCGGAACACTCCGTCTTGCAAAACTGAAACTCTCCCCGTTCAGTAACACCCCATGCCCTTCCCCAGTCCCTGGCAATCCCTATTCTACTTTGTGTCCCCACAAATCTGACCTCCTGACGGTGGGATCATACGGTATTCGTCCTTTTGTGTCTGCCGTACTTAACACGTCCTTGAGATTCATCCATGTTGCGGCGAATGCCAGAATTTTCAGGACCGGAAGATTCCATCGTGCACATATACCACATTTGTTTTTCCACTCTTCCGTCTGCACGCACCTGAGTGGTTTCCATCCCGTGGCTGTTGTGAATGTGGGTGTACAAATCTCTAAGTCCTTTTAAGTTCTCTTTGTGGAATAAGAGATGTAAATATGTGCATAGATACACCGAAGCCCGTTGCTCCTCCTGGGCGACAGGATGAGTGAGGATCTCTAGCTTCTGCTTATGTGTTCCGAAGGTTTTTAAATTTAAATTTTTTAAATCTTACTATGGAAAGTTAAAAACATAGACAGAAATAGGCACAGTAGGAACCCCCACATACCCGTCACTTGGTGTAATTGGGAGCTCATGTCTCCTCACTTCCCACGTATCCTGCCCACACCTGTGAGAGTCTCTAGGGATCCACAGTCCTGTGAAGTCACCTAGGAATTTAAATATCAGAACTGCTTAATGACATCATATTTGCAGTTGGGTCATCAGTCACATTTCCGCTTGTGTCATGAGTGTGTTTGTTTTTTTTTTTTTAATCTGTTTTTTAAGTCAGGGTCCATGTAATAAAGCACGATCGCCACAAATGGTTGCCGGGTCTCTAAGTCTTAGATTTCCCCTGCGTATGTTTTCTTCGCTGATCATGAGGACTTTTCTTCTGTAATAAAAGTGGATGTTGAGACGCTGGACCCGGTGCTAAAGGTCTGTCCTCCTCTCTCCCGCCCAGGACCGGGACTTCCTGGCCAAGCAGAAGGAGGACCTGGAGTTGGCCATGAAGAAGATCACCACGGACAACAGGCGGGAGATCTGCGACAAGGAGCGCGAGTGTCTTACTCGGAAGCAGGAGCTCCTCCGAGGTGGGTGTCAGAGAGTGGGCTGTGCCAGGAGCTGCTAGGTTCTCTTCCATCCTGAAGCCGAGCGGCCCCCTTCAGGGAGACACATAGGGAGAGACCCCAGTGAAGTCAGGACGGAGGCACGGAGCCGACATTATTTGACATTTTCCCTGATGTTGAGGAGAGCAAGCGAGCAAGCCATATGGAGCCGCAGAGCTTGTAACAGGTGGCAGGGGGTGGGGACCAGTATCGAGCCCCTTCTAACATTCATTGCACATGGAGCGACGGCTCTGCCAGGCCGTGGGCCACACTGCATGGCTTGCTCTCCCCGAGTCTTCACTTTCACCGGATAAGTAGTTTCTGTAGATGAGGAACAAAGGCTGGCAGAGCCACTGTGCTTTGCGGGGGCTGCTTGGCTAATGAGTGGCAGACTGGGCTGTGAATGTGGGTGTCCTCTCAGCCGAGCTCCTAAGTGCCCTGGTGTGCTGGTGCGCCGACAGCTTCACGGCACGGGCCACTCCCAGAGGGAGGAGGGCAGGGGAGCTCCCGGGGACAGAGGGCTCCTCTATCTGGATGGGGTCACTAGCAGGGGAGTCTCTGGGGCCGAGCCGTGGAGGGCTTAGGGTCTTTCTGTGGCCCCAGGCTTACCTTCTCTGTGCCTAGCAGATGCCGGGTACAGTTTTGTGGGGCATGCAAAGCAAGTGGGCTCTAAATGGCCAAAAGTCTGTTGTTTGAGCTACTTATAAGACAGTTGGGTGGGAGAAGTTTTGAGAGCCAACAGTCCAGCCTGCGGTAAAGTAAAACCACATGGCCGTGTACAAGTGCCGCCTCTGGCGTATTTACACAGCAGGTGCTACGGGCAGGGCTGTGACGGCCAGTGCAGGCAAGTATCGTATACCCCTCAGCACTGATGTGGGGCAGCAAAATGGGGTCCTTGAGGTTCTGATGAGCCACTGAGGTTTCAGGAAAGCCTTTGTTTTCTTTTTTGGTCCCATGATGTTGGTAAGAACCACCTTACTTGTGGGACAGTGGCTCTGATTTTGACGAGGAAGGCAGATCACTGTGCTGATATACTGGGTGGGGAGTTACCAGTTTCCATAGATCAGGAATGCAGTGAAGTGAACACTCATGTGGGTTGAGCGCAGTCCGCTCCGTGCCTCACAGGTCATGAAGTCTTCATCTGACACCAGCTCTGTGCCTGTGGCTGAGCAGAAGGTCAATTAATAGACTTGCAGTGATACGATGCCAGATACTGCTGTCTTAATAATAATGTATATGTAAGGGGTACAGAGTGGCCAAGGAGGGTGTCAGCCATTTTTCATGGGGTTTTGTGAGCCCTCCCCCCTGGCCATTAGGAAGGCAGAAGTGCACTGTGAGCTGAACATAAACCTGTCTCCCAAGAACATTGCACACATTTGGTAGAGGCGGAAGCGGAGGCCTGGAGAGGATTTGTTACCCATCCCAAACCACAGTGAAGGGGCTGGGTGCCAGCCTGGGTCTCTGTTCCTCTGCCTCCTGACTCCATTCACCTCCTGGTGTACCATGCTCCCGGGAGCGAACATCTGATGCTGGAGAGGGCAGGGCTGCCATCTCACGGGCCTCCTGTTGCCCACAGACCGGGAGGCCGCCCTGTGGGAAATGGAGGAGCATCACCTGCAGGAGAGGCACCAGCTGGTGAAGCAGCAGCTCAAAGACCAGTACTTCCTCCAGCGGCACGAGCTGGTGCGCAAGCACGAGAAGGTGAGGTCCCGACTGGGCGACGCATGGGGGCTGCTGCCACAGCCCTCGGAGGGCTGAGGCTGTTCCGTGATGGGGCACCGCTTGGGTACCATCCGTGCTCCCAAGAGGAGGCAGGTGTCGGTCACGGTAAGGCCCTGGGAGGTTCTGGGGGTGTCCTTCCTCAGATCAAGGGGCCGGGAATCGGGGAAGCCATGCAGGGAGGCAGATGGCAGCTCCCTTGCTGACTTAGACACCTTAGTGTGCGTCTTTCACTTGTTTCCTCTTCTCCATGACCTTTCCATTTTCCCCTCCTCTCTCTCTTTTGCGTACATTTCCCTCAGAATACTTGTAAGTCTCAAACACCACCTCTGCCAGGAAGCCTTCTTTACCTCCCTCAGACCAGGCAAGGGCCCCAGCTGTGTGTGGCCAGAGCACTCTTTACTTCTAATTGTGTAATTGTCTGTCTTGATTTGGTCCCCTTAGTAGGAACAGACAAACTGAGATCTGGATGCACAATTAATGGGTAATTACAATTCCTAATCTAAAAATGTGATGATGGACGCCAGCTTTGGGCTGTGGTGGCTCCAAATAAGGGTGCTCAGCTTGGCTAGAAGTCAGGAGAAGGCTGCTTGGAGGAGGTGATACCCATGCCAGGTTTTGAAGTACAAGTAGGTGTCTGGTGAAGGAAAAAGTCAAATTTATCACGACTTTTTTAAAGTATGAATTGACATCTGCCATAAGTAGTGTACACTTAGCTCTGAGGTGTTAGCTTTCATGGCACGCCAACCAATGATGAGATGAGAAGGCGTTTAGAAGGTAAGAGTCCAAAATGGTATTAACAAAAAGTAACGCTTTCTGTTGTCACTTTAAAAATTCGCGGTGGAAATAAAACGATAGCAGCCTTGCTCTCCTGAGCATTCAGGGCCCTGCAGGTCCCGGACTCCCTGGTGGAGTGTGGCAGCCTTTGGCGTCTGGTCACACCCGCAGCCATCCCCCCCACAGGAGCGGGAGCAGATGCAGCGCTACAACCAGCGCATGCTGGAGCAGCTGAAGGTGCGGCAGCAACAGGAGAAGGCGCGGCTGCCCAAGATCCAGAGGAGCGAGGGCAAGACGCGCATGGCCATGTACAAGAAGAGCCTCCACATCAACGGTGCGGGTAGCGCCTCCGAGCAGCGCGAGAAGATCAAGCAGGTGCGGGCTCTGTGTGTGTGCTGCGGAGCGGGGGGGCCTGGACTGTATGTGCTTGGGGAGGAGAAGATAGAAGCTGCAGCACGGGGTCGGGGAATGAGGGTGCCGGTCACAGCCTAGAGGCCGCCCGGCGAACGCCTTCCTGGCGGTCAGAGGAGGAAGCTTGGTGTTGCCTTCTCACACCGCTTCCCTTTCACACTCTGTCCTGCCGCTTCCTCTGCTGGCAAACCCCTTCCTCTCACCCACCAGGACCCCCCTTGCATGTCACCCCTCTGTCTTGGGGATGTGGCGTTGGTGGCCCTGGGCTCCTGTGCGGTGACACGCGTTGCCTTAAGCACATGGTCCAGCACAGTGCTTAGGAAGTGGGCACAGACCAGCCCCTCCGACCGGGCTTTCTGGAATGGCGTGGGGGGTAGACCCCGCAGCCACCAGCCAGGCCCGTGGCCCTCTGAGGCCCCCACCCTCTCTCTGTTCCAGTTCTCCCAGCAAGAGGAGAAGAGGCAGAAGTCGGAGCGGCTACAGCAGCAGCAAAAACACGAGAACCAGATGCGGGACATGGCGGCACAGTGTGAGAGCAACATGAGCGAGCTGCAGCAGCTGCAGGTACCGCCCTCCCCCCTTCTCGGCTTGCCTCTACAAGTAGAGGGACTCTGGTCCCACAAGCCCAGGCTAAAACGGTTCCAATCCTACTGTGTACTGTTGGCCAGATGCCATCGTCCTCAAGCTGTAGTTCCTGTATCCATAACGTGGGGATGGGGGTCAGAATCCCTGTTTGGGAGGCTTTGTAAAGGAGATGACTGAGCTGAAAGGGCCTGACAGTGGCCTGCCTACTGGCTTTCTTGTTCATCACTGTGTGTTGGGACGAGGCGTCCCAATGACCCTAATACCCAAAGCAGACATCACAAGTAAGGGAAGCGGCAAACCGTGGTTTGTGTTTGTTCTTATGAACACAGACGTGCAAATCCTTAATAATATATTAGCAAATTGACTCCAACAATGTCTAAAGAGAATCATACACCATGACCAAGCAGGCTTTATCCCAGGCTGGCTCAACATTCAAACATCGGTATAATCCATAACATCAACAGGCTAAAGAAAAATCACATGATCACAGCAACAGATGCAGAAAAAGCATTTTGCAAAAGCCCAGCACTCACTCATGACGATCCTCTCAGTAAAAGTAGGAATAGAGGGGAACTTCCTTAACTTGAGAAAAACCTACAGCTAGTATTATCCTTCACAGTGAGGAGCTCATAGCTTTCCCACTGAGATCAGGGATGGGCAGCTTGGCATTGCCAACCTCTTAGGGGCCCCTTTCCCTAGGGAGAGCCTGCCCTCTTCGAGTTTCCTGCCTCCCACGCTTGCCCCTGCCTGAAGGGCACCACCCAGGAGTTGGTACTTGGGAGCCTCCTTGTGGTGGAGCAAGGCACTGTCATACCTGAGGGACGGGCAGACTCTGTGACTTCTGGAAACTGCTACTGTACCCATTTGGCAACTTCTGGAGAGGCAAGGAGGCATGGAGGAAACCTGACAGGCCTTGAAGCCTAGGTAGGGTCTCTGTCATTTGTCACTGTGTACATCTTAGCCAAGTCCCTCACCGTCCACATCTGTTTTCCCTTTTCTGCCTCACGGGCTTACGGGGAGGATTACCTGAGAACCCATGTAAAGTGCCAGGGGCCCAGCTTCTGGCAGGTCAAGCGCTGTCCATGCTGCGGTAGTATTTCTGACTAAACTGATTTCTAAACTCTCAGGAGCTTTGAGCTTGAAACCCCAAATGAAAATCCCCCAAGGTGTTCCACTCTTCCAACCCAAAAGGATTGAGGTATCTGGATGGAGACCCTTTCTTCTTGCTTTATAAACACCTTATAAACCACAAGATTGACTCTCTTGAGGAATCAACAGGGACTTATCACTTCTGCCTAGGAGAAATTCCAGGTGAATTTTGTGAGGCAGATAGCTTACCTCAGAGAGAGAATAATAAAGCTGGGAATGTCTCTGTCAGGTCCGTGTCCTCATCTTTACACAAATCTCTCCTGAGGAAGTGATATATAATACAGAAAATTACATACATAATTTATATGAATATTTACACACACAGATTATCTTAGCTCTGGCTGCCATAACAAAATACCAGTCTGGTGGCTTAAACAGCAGTTTAGTTTCTCATAATTTTGGAGCATGGAAATCTAAAATCAGCTTGTCGGTGTGGCTGGGTCCTGGCGAAGCCTCTCTTCCTGGCTAGTGGATGGCTGCCTTCTTGCTGGGTCCTTACATGGCAGAGAGAAAGAGAAAACCACCTTCCTAGTGCCTCTTCTGAGGACACTAATCCCCATGATGAGGACCCCACTCCAGGACCTTATCTAAATTTAATTATCCCTGGAGCACCTGGGTGGCTTATTTGGTTAAACATCTCCACCTCAGGTCATGATCTCACAGTTTGTGAGTTCGAGCCCCACGTCAGCCTCATGGCTATCAGCTCAGAGCCCTCTTTAGATCCTCTATCCCCTTCTCTCTCTGCCCCATTCATGCTCTCTCTCAAAAATGAATAAACATTAAAAAAAAAACCCCACAAACTTAATTATCTCCTAAAGGTCCCACCTCCAAATACCATTATATTGGGGGTTAGGGCCTCATCATATGACTCTTGGCGGGGACACAATTCAGTCCATAGCACAGATGGTTAACACAATGCTATTTAAAATAGTGAAAATTAAAACCAACCTCAGTGACCAAAAATAGAGGAGTATTTAAGTGGATTTGATGAATCTATACTGTGGGATATTCTGTAGCCATTAAAATTTTCATTAAAAACAATGAAAAATGTTAATTCTTTAGAAGTTAACTAATGTTTACATTATAATGTAATTAGTTAATGTAAATTACATTATAATGTTAAGGGTGGTGGGAAAGCAGGTTTCAGTTGGGTGAGCTAAACATTTAGGACAGAGCTTGACAGGATATAGATCAAATTTTTGCAGTGGTTACCTCTAGTGGTGGGATTAGGACACATTTTTATTATTAATAGTTTTATTGTTTTGTTAAAATGACATATATGTTCATGTTGAAAAATTCAAACAATGCAAAATACAGCACAAAGAAGAAAGCTTCAAATTACTGCAGATCCCACTACACAATAAGAACTATTAACATGAATATTCTGAAATATTCCTCCAGGCAGCTCTTGGTAGGTATGTATTTATATTCATAGAGTTTCACATAAATTATAATCAAGGAGAAGAAATACTACTACTGGTGCCATCCTGGCTGTAGCATGAAGTATGTTTCAGCCTTCTGCACCTCTGCCTTCTAAGTTTTCTTACCTGTTCTGCCTGGGATTTGTTCCAGAATGAAAAGTGTCACCTCCTGGTAGAACATGAAACCCAGAAGCTGAAGGCCCTAGATGAGAGCCATAATCAGAACCTGAAGGAATGGCGGGACAAGCTGCGGCCACGCAAAAAGGTAACCACGTCAGGGCTCATGGGCTTTTCTCCATGCTGAGCCACAGGTGTCTGCCTAGGATGTAAATATAGATAAGATACAGATTTACTTTTACTTTAGGAAATTGGTTCATATGACTGTGGTGGGCTAGTAAGTCTGAAGCCCACAGGGCAGGTTGTAGGCTGGAGTTCCAGGGAAGAGTTGATGTTGCAGTTTCAGGGCCCACCTACGCTAGGGAGGGCAATCTACTTTACTCAAAGTCTACTGATGAAATATTAATCACATCTAAAAGTTCTTTCACAGTGCCATCTCAATGGGTGTTTGACCCATTACTTGGTGCCCATGCCTTGCCAGGTTGACACAGAAAATTAACCATCGCAGGGCCTCAGTATGGTCATTTGCAAAGTGGAGATGTGAATGTTGTACAGTATGTAGAGTATGATGCAGAAAAGTCATCAGCCCATAGTACAGACCAAGGACATACTCATTTCCGCCCACTCTCTGAGGAGGAAGCTGCCTTAATTGCCCATGATCACATGTCTTGAAGCCCTGAGGTTTGTTCTGCCATCATACATCAGCTCTGCTCGCTTTAACTGTGGTCTGGACAAGAGGCAGTGGCCCACCTCAGCTAAGTAGTGGCCTTGGAAGTCCTTGAACTGAAGCTTCCCTAAGCTGTGCTAATGGGGCTTTATGGCTGGCAGCTGGCCAGGGTCCTAGACCTTTCTGTCAGCAGGCCCACATTCATCATTTTCTGTAATCATGGCCTGTTGGGACTTTTGATACTTGACACTCAAATCAATAATGCTCCTGCTGACACAGCCTGACTCTGGTATCGGGAAATAAACGTTCACCTGGTTCTCTTACCTGGGTGTTCGATACCCTTGGCATGTCCTGAGAGAGAGTCTGAAGATGAATGATCACACTGCCTCTAGCAAGTGCCTCATATTTCAGGAGTGCCTGGATTTAGGGGAGGTGCCATGGTATATGTCTGGGGAGATGGCATTGGATTTTGCCTGTGGGCAATTCTTTGTAGAACTGTCTATCATTAACCACCCGGATTACTTAGTGTTGGAGCAGTTAACCAGAGGTGATAGAAATGCTCTTTTGCACTCTTGTGTTCAGTCAGCAGTCTTGAACTATACAGGGGAAGGGAGATGACTGTACACTGCGGAATATTTTTAGAAAAATTCAGACTTCATTCTTTCAAGTAAGTATAGACTATCTGGTAGCATCAAGAAAGTGTTGCTTGGGTCACAGTTAACACAGAATGTGGCCTCAGACAAGACCTCCCTTCTCAACCTTGCTTTTTAGGACTGTAAAATGGAGATAACATTTCTTCCCTTAAAGCATGTGTTAGTAAACTATGGTCCATGGGACAAATCTAGCCTACTATCTGTATTTGTAAATAAAGTTTTATTGGAACACAGCCATGCTCATTCATTTACACATTGCCTCAATGGCTGATTTTGAACTATAATGGCAGTTGAGTAGCTGTGAGAGAGACCTCACAGCCTACAAAGCTGAAAATATTTATAATCTGGCCCTTTACAGAAAAAAGATTACAGACTCCTGCCTTCGGTTATATAGATGAATATATATGGTAGGTAGAAGAGAGGAGTGCTTAAGAGCACAGGCTTTGGATGAAGTTCTGGCGCCCCTATTACTAGCTCTGAAATGCTGGGCAAGTTACTAAACCTCTGTTCAAAAAGTGGTAGCCATTATAATTAAATTGTTATTCCTATAGCAGAGGTCACAAACTGATTATCCATGGGCTGAAATTGGCTTACGGGCATTAGGTTTGGGCAACATACAGGAATTTCAAATTTTTTTTTAAAGTTACCAACCTTTAAGTTAAGTACAGGCATGCTTTTACTGTGCTTCACAGATAATTGCATTTTCCCCCTCCAAAATGAAGGTTTGTGGTGGCCCATGGTGAATAAATCTACCGGGGTCATTTCTCCAACAGTGTTTGTTCACTTCATGTCTCTGTGTCACATTTTGGTAATTCTTGCAACATTTTAAACTTTTTCATTATGTTTTGTTGTGGTAATCTGTGAACAGTGACCTTTGATGTTAAAAACAACTCTCAATAAATGTATGAAACTAGAAATTAATCATAAGATAAAAACCCTGAAAAAACACAAACATCTGAAGGCTAGACAATATGCTACTAAATAAGTAGTAGGTCAATGAAGAAATCAAAGAGGAAATAAAAAAAATACATGGGGACAAATGAAAATGAATACACAATGGTGCCAAATCTTTGGGACCTAGTGAAATCAGTTCTAAGACGGAAATTTATAGCAATACAGGCTTATCTCAAGAAACAAAAAAAAATCTCATGTAAACAATTTAACCTTACACCAAAAAGAATTAGAAAAAGAACAAAGCTTAAGGTTAGTAGAAGGTAGGAAATAATAAGGATTAGAGCTTTAAATGAAATGGAGAATAACAAAAAAAGCCCGTAGAAAAAAATTTAAATAAAAGAGCCACTTCTTTGAAAAGATAAACAAAATAGTTAAACCTTTAGCCAAAGTCAAGAAAAAAGAGAGAGGGCCCAAATAAAGTCAGAAATGAAAGGACTGCCTGGGTGGCTCAGCCAGTTAAGTATCTGACTCTTGATTTCAGCTCAGGTCATGATCTCATGGTTTGTGAGTCGACATCCATATGGAGCCTGCTTGGGATTCTCTCTCTCCCTCCTACTCGTTTTCTTTCTCTCTCAAAAATAAACTTAAAAAATCAGAAATGAAAAAGAACAATCCAGCACTACAGAAATATAAAGGATAAAAGTCTAAGACACTATATGCCAACAAATTGGACAACCTAGAAAAAAAATGGATAAATTCCTAGAAACAGTCTTCTAAAACTGAATCAGGAAGAAATAGAAAATCTGAATAGATCAATTAGTAGCAACAAAACTGGTAATCAAAAAATTGCCAACAAAAAAAAGCCCAGGACTAGATGGATTCACAGGTGAATTCTACCAAACATTTAAAGATGAGTTAATATCTATTTTCCTTAGTCTGTTCCAAAAAAATAGGAGGGGGAAGGAAAGCTCCAAGTATATTCGCAGAAGCCAGAATTAACCCTGATACTAAAACCAAAGACAATACAAAAAAAGAAAACTACAGGCTCTTGGGGCGCCTGGGTGGCTCAGTCGGTTGGGCGTCCGACTTCGGCTCAGGTCATGATCTAACAGCTCGTGGGTTCGAGCCCCGCGTCGGGCTCTGTGCTGACAGCTAGCTCAGAGCCTGGAGCCTGCCTCAGATTCTGTGTCTGCCTCTTTCTCTGACCCTCCCCTGCTCACGCTGTCTCTCTCTCTCTCTCTCAGAAATAAATAAAACATTAAAAAAAATTAAAGAAAACAACACTACAGGCCCATATCCTGATGAACATAGATAACAAAATTCTGAACAGAATATTAGCAGACCACATTCAACAATACATTAAAAGGATCATTCACCACCATCAAGTAGGATTTTTTTTTCCTGGAGATTCAAGGATGGTTCACTATTTGCAAATCAATCAACACGATACACATCAACCAAATGAAGGATAAAAATCATATGATCATCTCAACAGATGCAGAAAAAGCATTTGGCAAAATTCAACATCTGTTCATGATAAAAACTCTCAACAAAGTAGGTTTAGAGGGAACACACCTCACCATAATAAAGGCCATATGTGAAAAATCCACACCTAACATAACTCAGTGGTAAAAAACAGAACTTTGCCTCTAAATCAGGAGTAAGACCAGGATGCCCACTCTCAGCACTTTTACTGGACATCGTAGTGAGGATCTTAGCCATGGCAACTGGGTAAGAAAAAGAAAGGAAAGGCATCTGAATTGGTAAGAAAGCAGTAAACTGTCACTATCTGCAGATGTCTATACATAGAAAACTCTATGGGGGCACCTGGTTGACTCAGTTGGTTAAGAGTATTTTAAATAAACATAAAAAAAAAAAAAAAAAGAAAACCCTAAATACTCCCACCACAAAACTATTAGAAGTACTAAATGAATTCAGTAACGTTGCAGGATGCAAAATTAATACAGAAATTGGTTATATTTCTATATACTAATAACAAAGTAGCATAAAGGTAAATTAAGAAAGCAATCTTGTTTACAGTTGCACCAAAAAGAATAAAATACTTAGGAATCAACTTAACCAAACTATAAGACACTGATGAAAGAAATTGAAGATGATGAAAACAAATGGAAAGATATTTCATGCGCATGGAGTGGAAGAATTAAAACGGTTGAAATGTCCATATTGCTCAAAGCAAACTACAGATTCAGTGGAATCCCTAAAAATACCAACAGCATTTTTCACAGAACTATAATAATAATAAAATTTATATGGAACCACAAAGGCCCTAAATAGCCAAAGCTGTTTTGACAAAGAACAGAGCTGGAGGTATCAGAATCTCAGATTTCAAGATATACTATGAAGCTGGAATAAAGAAAACAGTTTGGTACTGGCACAAAAATAGACACATAGATCAGTGGAACATAATAGAACCCACACTTATATGGTCAATTGATCTATGACAAAGGAAGCAAGAATATACAATGGGGAAAAGACAGTCTCTTCAGTAAATGGTGCAGAGAAAAATGGACAGCTACATGCAAAAGAATAAAACTGAACCACTTTCGAGGTGCCTGGGTGACTTCAGCTCAGGTTGTGATCTCACGGTTCATGGGTTCAAGCCCTGTGTCAGGCTCTGTGCTGACAGCTAGCTCACAGCCTGGAGCCTGCTTCAGATTCTGTGTCTCCCTCTCTCTCTGACGCTCCCCTGCTCACACTCTGTCTCTCTCTCAAAAATAAAACATTAAAAAAAAAAAAAAAACTGAACCACTTTCTTATGCTATACATAAAAATAAACTCAAAATGGACTAAAGACCTAATTATGAGACCTGAAACCATAAAAATCATAGAAGAGAACACAGGCAATAATTTCTTTGATATCAAGCATAGCAACATTTTTCTAGCTATATCTTCTAAGGCAAGGGAAATGAAAGCAAAAATAAACTACTGAGGCTACACCAAACTCAAAAAAGTTTTTTGCATAGCGAAGGAAACCATCAACGAGATGAAAAAGCAACCTTCTGAATGGGAAAAAAAAAATGTTTGCAAATAATATCTCCAATAGGGGGTTGATATCCAAAATACATAAAGAACCTAACACCCCTCCCCCAAATAATCTGATTAAAAATGGACAGAGGACCTGAACAGACATTTTTCCAAAGACCTACATTTGACCAGCTGATACACAAAGAGATGCTTAACATCACTAATCCTCAGGGAAATGCAAATCAAAACCACAAACAGATATCACCTTATACCTGTCAGAATGGCTAGAAATAACAAGTGTTGGCAAGGATGCAGAGGAAAAGGAACTTTTGTGCACTGCTGTGGGAATGTAAATTGGTGCAGGCACTATGGGAAACAGTATGGACTTTCCTCAAAAAATTAAAAAGAGAAGTACCATGTGATCCAGTAATTCCACTACTGGATATTTAGAAAACAAAACAAAAACATTAATTTGAAAAGCTATATGCACTCCTGTTTACTGCATTATATATAATGACCAAGACAGGGAAGTAACCCAAGTGTCCATCACAAGATGGAGGGATATATAACGCATACACACAATGGAATATTAGTATTAAAAAAACAAGATTTTCTCATTTTGGACAACATGGATGGATCTAGAGGCTTAGTGAAATAAGCCAGACACAGAAAGACAGATGCCATGTTTCATTTATATGTGGAATCTAAACAAAACAGAGTAAACAAAAAGCAGGAACAAACCCATAAATACAGAGAACTGATGGTTGCCAAAGAGGGGTGACGGGATGGGCAAAAATGGGTGAAGGGCAGTGGGAGATACACACTCGTAGGTGTAGAATGAATAAGTCCCAGGGATAAAAATTACAGCATTGGGAGTATAGTCAACAGTAACAGCATTATTTGGTGACAGATGGCAGCTACACTTGTGAGCATAGCATCATGTATAGACTTGTCAAATCACTGTGTTGTACACCTCACACTGATGTAATATTGTGTGTCAACTGTTTCAATAAAAATGATAAAAATGCATTTTAGGGGGGGAAAAAGATGGTGAACTGTTGTACATTCTGACTATTCCCCCAGCTCTCTTCCTTTCTCCTCAGGCCTCATTCCATGAGACACAGTAATCATGACATTAATTAGGCCAATTAGTAACCCTACAGTGGCCTCAAAGTGATCAAATGAAGAGTTGCATGTCTCTCACTTTAAATCAAAAGCCAGACGTGATTAAGCTTTGTGAAGAAGACACGTAGAGACTTGAGATACTGTCCTTTTGTACCAAACAGTTATAGTCAAGTTGTGAATGCAAAGGAGAATTTTTGAATTAAAAGTGCTACTTCAGTGAATACATGGGTAAGAAAACTAAGCAGCCTTATTGCTGAAAGGGAGAACATTTTTATGATCTAGGTAGAAGATCAAACCAGCCACACATTTCCTTAAGCCTAGGCCTAATCCAGAGCGAGGCCCTAACCTGGCTTCACGGCTATAAAGGCTGAGAGGCGAGGGAGATGCAGAATAAAAGCTTGACGCTAGCTGAGGTTGGTTCACGAGGTTTAATGAAAGAGGCCATCTCCAGAATGTAAAAGTGCAAGGTGAGCGTCTAGTGCTGATGTAGAAGCTGCAGCAAGTTATCCAGAAGATATAGCTAGGGGAATTCATGCGGGTGGCTACACGAAACAGATTTTCAATGTAGATGAAACAGCCTTATATTACAAGACTGTAGAGCTGGAGAGTGGTTAGCGCCTGGCTTCAGAGCTTCAAAGGACAGGTGACTCTCTTGTCAGGGGCTAGTATACCTGGTGATTTTAAGTTGAAGCCAATGCTCCTTTACCATTCTGAAAATCACAGGACCTTGTAGAATTATGCTATATCTATCCTGCCTGTGTTGTATAAATGGAACAGCAAAGCCTTGATGACAGCACATCTGTTTATGGCGTGGTTTACTGAGTATTTCAAGCCCACTGTTGAGATCGACTGCTCATTGGCAATGTGCCTGGTCAACCAACAGCTCTGATGGAGATGTACAATGAGACCAATGTTGTTTTCATGCTTGATAACACAATATCCATTCTGCAGCTCCTGGGTCAAGGAGTAATTTTGACTTTCAAGTGTCATTATTTAAGAAATACAGTTCCGTGAGGCTATAGGTGTCATAGATTGTGATTCCTCTCAGGGATCTGGGCAAAGTTAGCTAAAAACCTTCTGGAAGAGATGTACCATTCTAGATGTCATTAAGTACATTCGTGATTCATGGAAGAAGTCGGAAGGAATATCAATGTGGACACGACTTTGGAAGAAGTGGATGACTTTGAGGGGTTCAGGACTTCATGAAGGAAGTAACGGCGATGGGGTGGAAATAGCAAGAAAACTGGAATGAGAAGCGGGACCTGAAGATGTGACTGAATTGCTGCAAGTTCAGGATTAACCTGGACGAGATGAGGAACTGCTTATGGATGAGCAAAGAAAATGGTTTCTTGACATGGCATCTCCTCCTGGTGAAGACTGTTGAAATGACAAGAATGGATTCAGAATATCTCCTGAAGTTAGTGGACAGGCAGAGGCAGGGTTTGAGAGGGCTGACTCAAGTTTTGGAAGAACTTCTACCGTGGCTAAAATGCTGTCAAAGAGCATCACATGCTACAGATGAATCGTGAAAGGAAGAGTCCGTCAGTGTGGCAAACTTCATTGCTGTCTTAGTTTAAGGACTTGACTTGTATGTGAACTATACCTCAGTAATAAAAATTAATAACTACAATTTCCCTGGTGAGCACAGCATAATGTACAGAAGTGCCGAGTCACTACGTTGCATACCCAAATCTAACATAACGTTGTATGTCAATTATATGCCATTCATAATAAAAAATTGCCACAGCCACACCAACTGTCACCAGTCACCGTGTTCAGTCAGCAGCCATCAACACTGAGGCAAGACACTCCACAAGCAAAAACATGAATCGCAGAGGACGTTTAGCATTTTCCAGCAAGAAACTATTTGTTAATTATGTGCATACATTTGTTTTTTTTAGACACGGCTGCTGCACACTTAGACCCCAGCATACTATAAACATAACTCTCATATGTACTAGGAAATCAGAAGATCCGTTTGACTTTATTATGATACTTACTTTATTGCAGTAGTTCGGTACCAAGCCCACAGCATCTCCGAGGGAATGCCTGTGTAGGGAAATTCTTCCTAAGAATCTGGGTTTCTCGTTTCTTTTTGAGAATCCAGGAGCTCGGGCCACCCTGGGCTCATCCTCTCACATGACAGGCATCAGCTGGAGCTGAGAAGAAGCCGCCCTCTTCAGATCCAGCCTGTGCCCTTCACCTCACCGTATCCCCCCACTACCCAGCGCCTCACACCCAGCTCGCTTTACTCATTCCCTTCACCCGGCTGGCTCCCACACTCACTCGAGTTTGTAACTCGTTACAAAAGCTTAAATACTACCACTTTATCTTGCATATATATAATGTTTGCTTACCACAAACACTTTAATACTAATATATCCAGGGATGCCTGAGTGGCTCCGTTAAGTGTCTGACTTCATTTCAGGTCATAATCTCATGGCTCATGAGTTTGAGCCCCGTATCGGGCTCTCTGCTGTCAGCACAGAGCCCCCTTCAGATCCTCTGCCCCCACCTCTGTCGCCCCCTGCTGGTTCTGTCTGTCTCTGAAAATTAAAAAAAAAATTAAAAACTTAAAAAAAATATTAAAACAATGCTAACACATCTAGCAAAGGAGAACCTGAGCCAAGACACTAGACACTCTGCTCTGAGTTACTGAGTGGGCGTTTACACCACGAAGAACCCCTTGTAATGCAGATTTTCAGAATCACAGTCTCGGGATGGTGGGGAGGCAAATGATTTTTGAAGACAACTCCCTGGGTGTTTTCTGTGGGGCAGTGCCCTCAATATGAACACTATGTACTTGGACATTTCTGGTCCTCCCCTCCTCCTCCCCCCAATCACCCACTGTTAAAATCTGTCCATTTTCTACCTTGATTGTTTTCCTGCCAGGAAACTGGCATCTGCCTCCCGCCGTCCCCGGCTCGCTCTCATCAAGATGGCATTTCACCAAACGGCCCTTGATCCACAGCAAACACCTGCGTGGTTGTGGCAGAAGGAAGCTAGAGGTGGTTCCTGTCTTCTGGGTGATGCACTCTGGGAAAGGAAAGATAGACGACTGAGTTACCCATGTAGCAAAGGCCTGGGAGGGACATTTCCAGAGAAGGCCACTTTGGTGGGGGTCCTGTGTTTTGGAGACCTGTGCCAATGGGATCTGACTGAGCTCTCTCTTTGTTCTAGGCTCTGGAAGAAGATCTGAACCAGAAGAAGCGAGAGCAGGAGATGTTCTTCAAAATGAACGAGGAGACAGAATGCCTGAACCCTACCACCCCAAACAAGGCCACCAAGTTCTTCCCCTATAGCTCTGGGGATGCTTCTTAACAGCCACCTGGGGCTGTGGCTGGCAGGCTGGCCTCCGAGGCCCTCCCATTCTCTGTGAACAAGTAACTCAGGACCCCCCTGCCCTCTTGCTTCCAGGCCAACTTGAATCTAGCCCCTTGCCTTGTGCTGCCCTAGCTGTGCCCAACAGACCCACCCCAGTGTTCCTTAATTCTCGCTCACTCGTGGAGGGCGAGGTTTTATTATGTGTTGCCTGAGCCTCATGTATGTTCCCTGCGAGCCCCACATCCCTTCAAGGTGTCAGTGATTTGGGCTGCTAGTGGGGCCACGGTCCAGGAGGAGCGGCGTTCTGCAGCCTTGAGACCCTTCCGCCTGCCAAAATGCCATTTTTGCTATCTGTGGGCACGAAGCTCTCCTGCTAGTCACCAGGAGTTTGTCCATATCATGATTCTTGGTGTAGTGTCAGATAAGAATGACTCCTAACGCCATTTTAGTTCTTAGCAAAGCCCATCCTGCAGCCAGCTGCTGGGGGGGCGGGGGGGGAGGGGCTCATTCTTCCAGTAGCCCCCAGTTTGCTTTCCTCTTGAGACAAGGCTGTGTCTACAGTAGTGGGATGGAGGAGAGCCTGAATCATTCATTCCGCTGGCCTCGGGGGTTTCCTGCCATCTCGTGGCCCTTTGTGTGCAAGCGCACACACATACACACACAGGGCTTGGCCCTCTGGCATTTACCCAGGCTTGCCTCTGCCCTGGGCCTCTTGTGCCAGGTGGGTTGAAACATATTCACTGCCTGAGCCTGTGCCACTGAGCATGTTTAGGTGAAGCCACTGGTTTGAAGTGTGCTAGGTACAGGCGCAGGATGGGATAGGCTGAACTGCTGGCCTGGGGTTCCCTTTGGCCCCGGCGCTGGGCCCTATGTTCAGGGATAAATTCCTTAGCACGCAAGACTTTTCACAACCCAGGCTGTCCCCGTCTCACCCCTGCCCTTCCTGTCTGCAGGTGATACGGGAAGGCTGTTTCCCTCTGCCCTTCCTGGCAGGAGTCTGGCCCCACACTTGAGGCAGAGGCTGGCAGTCGCTGGGATTTGTGTTCAGGAAGAAACAGCATCAGGGAGAAATGTAATGCTTCCTGCCCCCAGCAACAGAGCAGATGCAAAGCTGCTTTTTCTCAGATGGAATCTGGGGCCTTTGGGTTATTCAGCTGGCCTCCCACAGATTCTGGTCCCACAGGCTGCAGGATGTAGATAACCCAGTAAGAGTAATGCTCCAGCAGGCATCCAGTATACCTACAAAGAAAGCTTTTTTCACTTTGATTTCTAACTTGGAATGAATGGCTTCTATAGGAAGATAACCTGCTTTAAATAAAACAAAACAAAACTGAAGGTGAATTTTGAGGAATCCTATGGATGACGTACTGTCTGGGTACTGCTTTGTCGTGGTGGAGTGGCTGACCTCCCCAGAGGACTTCTTCCTCCTTCACTCCTACATGCTAAGGTTTGACACTTTGTCCTAAAGCATTTCTCTGCACGTTTTCTTGGCACTGTTTGGAAGTGGATCTTGGGGAGCGAGGGCAGCCATTCAGTAAGAAGGGACTTAGGGTCTCAAGGCTTACACATGCCTTGAGATGCTCTGCGGGCTGTGGGAAGGCAGCGGTCCTCTTAAGCTGGTGAACATGCAGCTTGCCAGGTTCAGCATTTGACTCAGATGCATCAGTCTTCTGGCCTCACACAAATGAGACTGGTGAAATGACTGTCCCCTTTTATTCTTTTTGGTGTGCAGGTGCTGGGAAAATGTGACCAAGCGGCAGTGTAATTACAGAACCCTGACCGAGTTCCCCCAGACAAGGCCAGCACCGGCACATGGTCAGGCAGGGCTGATTGGGTTTCGTTTACACTACTGCCTGGGGTGTGAGGAGGAGCAGTTAGGTAAAAATGAGTTTCGTGGTTCACACGAAAGTCTTGGATCATTCCCCTTATTTGGCTTTTTATTCACATTTGAATCTTGTTCAAGAGGTGCTGCTTTCCTGTTCAGTGCTGCCCAGGTCTTGATAGCTCTCCTTTCTGGATGGGGGCTGGTTGGGTCCTCCAGCCTCATGACTGAGCCAACATGCATGCCCAGCAGTGAGAAGAAGGCCCACGCAGTATTCCTCATGCCCCGTGCTAATGTTTCCTCTGTAAGGCACAGATGGAACTGTTTCTTGTTTTCAGTCCATTTTTGGCAGAGTAAATATAAAACTAACTTATATTTTCCCTTTATAAAGGATAGAAGTTATTTTTATGTAGTTTCAAAACTTTATACAAAACTTTTGTAAAATGTTCTCTGCAAAGTTTAACTGCAAGAATGTAAATATGCTTCTAATAAAATAGCAAAAGGGAAGAAACTCTATTTGCATTTGTGGTGGTTCTCTTGGGCGGGGTGGAAACAGCAGGGCAGACTGAGCCACATTTGCCAGGCAAGAAAGGGTTTACTATCTTCTCAGTGCACTGGTGCTTTCCAGGTCACACAGCCAGTCAGACCCTGGGGTGGGTGTCTGTTTTGAGAGGAGTGTGTGTGTGTGTGTGTGTGTGTGTGTGTGTGTGTGTGTGTGTGTGTTTCTCTACAGACATTTAACAACATTCTCGTTTAACAATAAACATTTGACCCCCAGGAGTTTTCACATATTAACTTACTGAATCCTTTTAATAACCTGTGAGGAAGACATTGTCATTCCCATTTTATAGATGAGCAAATAGACAAGGCAGGGGTAAGGTCAGGCCAAACTGCACCACACTGGTAAATGATGCCTATGAAATTCAGATTAGACCTTCTAGAGGTGCTGTCTCCAACACACCTCCTCTCCCACTTGCAGCTGCCCCATTACGCTCAGTAAGAGGCACACAGACACTTAACCACTAGCTGTTGTATTTAAAAGCATTTTCCTGCCAAGCTTCTAAAACCCCATTCAGGGGTTCTTAGCCTGGGATCCAAAGACCTTCCCTATCACCAGCAAGGGGTCTGAGGGTAGAATTCAGGGTGTCTTTGTTCCTGGATGGGAAAAGATTTGGTTTTTAGTTTGAGTCTTAACTGACATTCAGTATTTCCTTTCTGTATGGATGCAGGTAACCAGCTGTATTATATAAGTTAGTACCTGAGACTGTATCAGCAATAGAATTCAGAGATTTCATCTCCTGTTACTGCTGTGCAAACACCTCCAAATTTTGTTCATCATTGCGAAGTAACAGTAGTTATTGGACTAATTGCCAGCTTCTGTTATTTAAGATTGAGACATCCAGGGGCGCCTGCGTGACTTAGTTAAGTGTCCAACTCGATTTCGGCTCAGATCATGATCTCACAATTTGTGAGATGGAGTTCCGTGTGGAGCCCTGCACTGACCACGTAGGCCTGCTTGGGATCCTCTCTCTCCCTCTCTGTTTCTCCCCTGCTCATGCACTCTCTCTCTCTCTCAAAATAAATAAACGCTAAAAAAAAAATGAGATGTGCATATCACATTACATATATAGATCACATCTATAAGCCAATATATATGTAGGTTTTCTAATACTTTGATACCTATATTTCATATGTGAGGTTTCACTTGTAATCTATGTCCTTTACATTGGGCATCTGAAAGTATTCTGAGAAGGGGTTTGCATTCTTGGTGGAATGCCTTAAAATTAAGAACTTCTATGCTGTCTGCCGCCCTGAGCTGTCACTGTCCTAGAAACCTACCAAGCAGCAGGCGGTGGTCCACTCTCAGGGTGTCTCATATGTCTGTGACTTGGTGTGTTGGGGCAAGGGGTGCAGCGCAAGCAAACAGCAGCTGGCATGCCGCCATGAAGGGACAGAAAAATGACTGAGGTTCCCGGAGAAAGGATTCATGAGACCGATGAAGAGATAATGCATCAAGGCACACATGGAACTTGAGAAATGAGATCGTTCTGCATTAACGAAGCCCTCTTATTCACTAAGTGCTTGAGGTGCTGAAATGAGTAAGACATGGGCATGGTCTTCAAAATCCTTGTCCTGCTGAGGAAACAGACCTGGAGAAGCAGAGTGTCAGTTCAGGCTGACAGAGCCTCGGAGAATGAGGGAAGAGCTCCCAGAGGCGGTGATGCAGAATCTGGGCCGACTAACTCCTCTGGGCAGAATGCCTTTGGGGATTGGGTTCTCAATGGTTTACAAGCCATGAGGCTGGAGAGAACAAGGCCAGACCCATGTGCCCGGGCCCAGGCTGACCCTTACTATCCCAAGGGCAGTAAGAAGTCTGGGAAAGAGTTTACTTAGGGGAAGGACAGTTGAAATCATGACCACAGCAACTCAGGAGACCAGCTGAGGACAGAGATTAACACTGATGTGGGGCGTCTGGGTGGCTCAGTAGGTTAAGCGTCTGACTTCGGCTCAGGTTATGATCTCACGGATCGTGGGTTCGAGCCCCGCGTTGGGCTTTGTGCTGACAGCTAGCTCAGCGTCTGGAGCCTGTCTTCAGATTCTGTATCTCCCTCTCTGACCCTCCCCTGCTCGTTGTCTCTCTCTGACTCTCAAAAATAAATAAAAAAACATAAAACAAAATTTAAAAAAAAAGAGATAACACTGGTGCTGAATGGGGATGATGGCCCACAAAGGCTGGAGGCTTTAGGAAGGAAAGGGCAGGCTGTAGGCTACGCAAGGGCAGGGAGTAAGACTCTAGCTGACCCCTCAACACTTAGACCCAGCCTGCTGCCACAGCAAAATACCCCATCTGAGCGGCTTGTGCCATAAAGGATCTGAAAAGGGAGCAGCGGAGGTCTGGGGGCTGGAGACTGGGTGTGTATTAACCTACCGTGGTACCAGAGAGGTTCACTAGGTCTGACCAACCCATGTGTTGCCAGTTAAAAACAAAACCAAGAGAACTTCCACTTCCAGTGATGGCAGACTAGGTGGTTCAAACCAGTCCCTCTAAAGCTCAGGACAATTAGAAAAGCAGGGCAGAAATATTCAACATGTCTCCTTGAAGGCACAAGGCAGTGAACTTAAAGCCAGGGTTGAAACAAAGATAGAAGGCCAGAGAGGATTCTGGTATTTTACCCTGAGAACATTTGCTGATCCTAGAGAGGATAGAAATGCAGACCCGACCAGAGTGCCAGGATCTCTGCAAGGACAGCTTGTACATGTAGTCAGTGCACTAGTCACTTCTGGTGTCCCAGTTTTGGGGAGCTGCTACTCCAGGATATCTCTTGATTGCCTGATGTGGGGACTGAAGTGGCGAGGGGCGGGTGTTGTGTTTCAGGGTCCCACAGGACTGTAACAACTGGAGACAGTTGACGGCAGACTGGACTACCACCCCCAGAACACTGCTGCACAGACAGTAAACTAAAACACAGCCTAGTCTTTCTGTGAAAGAGGTCTAAATGCTTGTGCTGGAGCTCTGGCCTGCGGGGCTTCAGGTTGAGCACACATCTAGAGGCCTATGGAGGTGCCTATGTAGGCTGGGGGGAACACCATCTTTGTGCTCTGCTTCTGCCTTGCTCCAGCTCTCCCGTATCTCTCAGAAACGAGCATACACACTTGTCTGGAGCCCTGATTTTTGCCAATGTCATCCACGGAACACCTCCAGATTACCTTGTCTGGTGGCCAGCAGGGTTCATGCTTGTGGTCTCACAGCACTGTATATATCTGTATACTCAAGAGCTGCTACCTGAAGGTCTGGCTTCCAATCAGCCTGAATCTAGAGGCTGAGATCCCCAACTTAGGATGGACAGAGCTTGGCACAGCCTCAACAATGAGAGCTTTATATTAAAAATAAAGGCTGCATGGAAAATCATAGAGGTTCAAGAGACTACCAAGAGTTAGACAAGGTTGAACAATAACATTCATCTCTTACACAAGGCCACTCTTTCCAGACTAGAAGAGGCGGTTGTTTCACTTAATACAGAGAAACAAACAGAGTCAAGCAAAATCAGGATATAGGGATATGTTCTCAACCAAAGAACAAGATAAAACCTTAGAGAAAATCTTAATGAAATGTGTAAGTAATTTACCTCATAAAGAGTTCAAAGTAATGGTCAGCAAGATGTTCACCCAATTTGGTAAAAGGATGGTGCTCACCCAACTTGGGAGAAGAATGGATGAGCACAATGAGAACTTTAACAAATGGATAGAAAGCATAAGAAAGTACCAAATAAGACACACAGAGCTGAAGAATACAATAACTGAACTGAAAAATACAGTAGAGGTGTTCAACAGCAGACTCGATGAAGCAGAAGATCAGTGAACTCAAACACAGGACAGTGGAACTCCCCAGTCAGAGCAGCAAAAAGAAAACAAACAATTTTAAACAGTGAAGACAGCATAAGGGATTTGTAGGGCAACATCAAGTAGACTAACATTTGCATTATAGAGGTTGCAGAAAGAGAAGAAAGGGGCAGAAATTTTACTTGAAGAAATTAAGGCTGAAAACTTCCCTAAGCTGGGGAAAGAAATAAACACCCAGATCCAGGAAGCCCGGAGAATTCCAAAGAGATAAACTCAAAAGGCCCCACACCAAGACATATTTCAACTAAAATGTCAGAAGTTTAAGCAAGGAGAGAAATCTTAAAAGCAACAAGAAGAAAACCAACTTGT